TTATCATGTAAATCAATAGGTGGCGCATGTGTGTCATTTCAATTTGAGACTTATTACGTAAGGGCTAGGAATCCCCAATTCGGTTTTATATGATAGATAGTGTCATAAGCTAGGCCTAGAGGTCATCGAAAGTCGCACAAAATGACCCAGGTTCATAGAATGAACGGAAATGAACGGAATTGAATTGTATCCTGAAAGTGCTCATAATGGTTCAAAATTAGTCTGAAGGAGTTTTGGTTGTAACCATGTCATAACCAATAACCATGTCATCACCATGTCATAACCATGTCATAACCATGTCATAACCATGTCATAACCATGTCATAACCATGTCATAACCATGTCATAGGGTGGTCCTAGGGCCAACCAAACTCTTCAGACCAATTTTGAACCATTATGAGCAATTTTGGGATACAATTCATTTCCGTTCATTTCCGTTCATTTCCGTTCATTCTATGAACCTGGGTCATTTTGTGCGACTATGATCTCTAGGCCTAGCTCATGACACTATCTATCATATAAAACCGAATTGGGGGTTCCCAGCCCTTACGTAATAAGTCTCAAATTGAAATGACACACATGCGCCACCTATTGATTTACATGATAAACCTGGTAGCGCATGTCTGTCACTTTTGTTTTTGACACACATGCGCTAGCAGGTTTATCATGTAAATCAATAGGTGGCGCATGTGTGTCATTTAAATTTGAGACTTATTACGTAAGGGCTGGGAACCCCCAATTCGGTTTTCTATGATAGATAGTGTCATAAACTAGGCCTCGAAAGTCGCACAAAATGACCCAGGTTCATAGAATGAACGAAATGAACGGAAATGAATTGTATCCTGAAATGAATTGTACCCTAAAGTGCTCATAATGGTTCAAAATTGGTCTGAAGGAATTTTGGTTGTAACCATGTCAAAGCCAATAACCATGTCATCACCATGTCATAACCATGTCATAACCATGTCATAACCATGTGGTCCTAGGGCCAACCAAACTCTTCAGACCAATTTTGAACCATTATGAGCAATTTTGGGATACAATTCATTTCTGTTCATTTCCGTTCATTTCCGTTCATTCTATGAACCTGGGTCATTTTGTGCGACTTTCGATGACCTCTAGGCCTAGCTTATGACAATATCTATCATAGAAAACCGAATTGGGGGTTCCCAGCCCTTACGTAATAAGTCTCAAATTGAAATGACACACATGCGCCACCTATTGATTTACATGATAAACCTGGTAGCGCATGTCTGTCACTTTTGTTTTTGACACACATGCGCTAGCAGGTTTATCATGTAAATCAATAGGTGGCGCATGTGTGTCATTTAAATTTGAGACTTATTACGTAAGGGCTGGGAACCCCCAATTCGGTTTTCTATGGTAGATAGTGTCATAAACTAGGCCTCAAAAGTCGCACAAAATGACCCAGGTTCATAAAATGAACGGAAATGAACGGAAATGAATTGTATCCTGAAAGTGCTCATAATGGTTCAAAATTGGTCTGAAGGAGTTTTGGTTGTAACCATGTCATAGCCAATAACCATGTCATAACCATGTCATAACCATGTCATAACCATGTCATAACCATGTCATAACCATGTCATAACCATGTCATAACCATGTCATAACCATGTCATAACCATGTCATAACCATGTAAGAAAAAGGTGTCATAGCCATGTCACTAGCTGACCACTATGATTGCATTAACAATAAAGCGTTATTCTAAAAATAATTATGAATTATAAACGAGAAAACACGTTTCCTTTTTTATTATTCTTATTTTGTAAATGTGCTGTAATTATTTTGTAATTTTCACGCAGTACAGGCAATTACGGACAAAAGAAACGATGTTTTATATTATTAGTCTTAGAAGACTGATCAGCGCATCAAATAATGTTTTTTTCTTGATCGGCGCGATGCACAATTTATTAACTGGGCCGTACTGCCAGCTAACTGTGACATGTAAAATATTGACGTTGTTTTTTATTCGTTCGTAAATGATAAACGGTTGTGGGTTGCGGAATGACATTGAAAAGGCACAGGCTGAGCGCCGCCCAGTAACACAAACATTTCGCTTCGAAAAGAAGGTTTTTCGTGTTACTTCGAAAAAAATTAGACAAGCATCATCCGTCGACGTACCGGCGAGTTCAATTTCCAATCCTTTCTTTAACGGGTGATAGTATCACTGATACTTGTAGTCGTAAAATATTTGCTTCAAATATTAATCAGGACCGTCGACGAGTCCAACTCGGCGCGCGTCCTGGTAGGTTATAAACTTACAAGTCACACGTCGCGATCCTCATTTGTAATTCATTTCGCCCCCGCTATACCGTGGCGAAAGCCACGATACGACCGCGCAGCCCACAGGCACAACGAAGGGCTGAGGGTAATCAATTTACCGGATGGTGTAGGGAAATTGGTAAAAACACGACTTCAATCTTACATTAATTGTATAAAATTCTAATTTCAGGTAAACAAGCAAAGTTTGTTTTCAATTATTACATATAACTTTTAGTTGACGGATGTAACTCGTTTGGATTTTTCGATGCGAAGTTTACTGGGCCGCGCTCAGCCTCAAGCCTGTCATTCCGCCGAATTTATATGATTATGAACATATAATACAAAAATTAAGTGCAAGTAAGTAAGTAAATATTTCATGCTAGGCATGTAGCACCCATTACGGTATGGGTAACCATTAATATAACCATCCATTGAGTCTTTGCTTTTTCACTTTGCATAGCAGCTCAGCGAGGTCCGCAGGGCACAGCCCACAGGGGTGCTGGGTGCATTTTGCCTATATCTAACGACAAACAAGGTGGCCTTACAACGAGAAGCATTATTAGATCGATGCGCGGCAAGCTTGCTAGTTGACCATTGTTAATGATTGGCCCGGCGCGCGCTACTTCGTAGCACTTGCCACTAACATTTCGAGAAGAAAGCGGCGCGCGCTACTTCGAAGAAATTTAGACGAGTAACATCCGTCAAGCTTGCTAGTTGCTACGAAGTATCCCGAAACGGGTTAGTCCATTATCATTTCTAACAATAAACACATTAGACAGTTTTTGGGTTTTCCAAATAGTTTCTGATTATTCTGATTTGCGACAAATGATATTGCACTGTTAGGATAAACGACGTTTCAAAGTAACAACTTCTTATTCACATATAAACACATTGTTGGCACTTGGCAGTTGGCTTGATACACGAATAATTGCATTTCGATCTTCGCGCACGAAACCAGGACACAGGAGCTTGCCTGTCATGCGTCGGCGTACACGCTTCAATATGCAATTCTTGGTAGCTGTCATGCTACGCGCAGCAGGCAGCTTCATTCCTCCATAGCTCCATTCTCCAATGAGTATGTTTATAAATATTATAGCTTGTAGCACGATGCGTTACTGTGCCGCGCCGCGCATTCAATTATTGATTATTCTTCTTGCAACGCTAATTCGGTGAAATGTGCTACTGTGCCTTGCCGAGCTGCGATGAATTGACATCGTCAGTTAACATTATAGCCTGTGCAGCAACAGTACACGCGCTTTAACCTAACCATGTGCTTTCGCGCCACTGCAGCGTGCAGGCGCGCTCGTTTCACACGGGAGGTGATCGGCGGAGATAAGAGGAGTTTAAAGATAAAATAGAGATAAGGATAAAATACATATATAAATAATTCAAGATAGCGATTAGAATATTAAATAGAGATTTTACAGCAATTTTACAAAAATGACACACATGGGCCACATAACATGGGCCACATAACATAATGATTTACATGATAAACCTGCTAGCGCATGTGTATCAAAAAATTTTTTGACACACATACGCTACTTAGGAAGCGCATGTGTATCATTATTTTTTTTTGACACACATGCGCTTCCATACTCTACTACTGGAAAGGTTGACATTGTCAATCAACATGGCTATGTGAACATAAGGGCATGGGCAACTTGACATACGTTGCATGCCACTTTTCGCACGCGAAGCGCGGCGAAAAATAATATCTTTGATATTTCAATTTGTGATACGTAACATGTATCAATGGGCAACAGGCTTAGTGTTTATGGTTAATAAACTTTTAGGTTAAAAACCTACCTTGACTTGCTACACGGTCGAAACAAAACACAATATTTACTACCTCGGCCGCTGATATACTATGTAACAAAAATCGTATAATCGCATGATGCATGAAATATATTTAAATAATTTACACAACACTGTGCCTTGTTTAATTGACACTGTAGGTTTATAATTATAAACTACCGCAAGACGCGCGCCGAGTTGGACTCGTCGACTATCGCGCGACGGTCTTAATATTTGAAACAGATATTTTACGAGTATCACCCGTTAATATATAACTTGTAATAATATAATTCTGTATATTAATGAGGTCTGCGGCTTTGTTAACAAGGTTTGGCCGGTAGAGGGTCCGCAGTAGTCCCATTACCTTAGTATTGCTGTTCCACTACTAAATTCTGTATATTATTTAATTTTGTTTTTAAATTAGTAGTCACGCAACGAAAGCATAAAATCGATGTACTTCGAGGCGTCCCGCTTATGATATGACTCTGGATCAACTCAGTCACCTGTCACATGCTAATCAATTAGAGGCACATCGTTTCCAAACCTTGTAAACCTTGTAAACCTTTCCATGCTTTTATGACTACTTTCAATTTTGTAGGTTTATAACCTACCAAGACGCGCGCCGAGTTGGACTAGTCGACGGTCTTGGAACAAACATTTTACGAGTATCACCCGTTAAAAACTAGTCATCCTAGAAAATAAGTTGAATACTATATAATACTAGTAGGTACTACTATATAATTATAGGTAACAACTGTGCATAATATTAGGTAACAACTGTGTATTGTAAAGAACGAAGACTCAGAAAACCAATAATTTTCCATTAAACATGCATGTTTGGTACCTTAGCCGGCTTTCACTCACTTGCCTATACAAAATATAGCAACCTGTAAGTAATATTGAAATAAAACTAGCCCCATTTATTCTCAAATAACATTATTACATAATAGATAACTTCTGTGCACCCCATGATAGTTAGTTAGATCTTTAAAAAATAATTTCACGTTTACAATTTTAATTAATGGTTCTCAACAAATTTCTGAAGTTGTTTGCTTTCTTCCTCATGTCTTGCCTTGCTTTCTTGACATTCAGTTGCTTCTTTTGGTTCTCAAAAGTCAATGCCTTGACTTTATCAAGCTGCATCGAGAAAGATGTCTCTGTTGGTTCCGTTGTAGCTTTTTCTGAGACGTTGAAAATGATGAAATAAGTCAGTAAAAAGCATCACCAATATTTTAAATTTGTTCATATCAAAGCGAACCAAATTCAACCAAGCACACATGACTCGTTTTTCCTTTTTTCATATTTTAAAGCATTTAGCAAAGAAGTTCTACTGTTTACATAAGAACACTAAAACTTACTTGCACATTGGATGGCTTCCTCTGCATGGAGCTTGAACTTTTCATTCTCTGCTGCACGCTTCTCAGTTTTACCCAGTACCTTTCCTAACTCATCCTTCCTGGTTGCTTCCTTTTTCAGTTTCTTGGTAGCTTGTCTGCATCGTTTGTTCAGTTCTACGTATTTCTTCCTCTGACCATCCGCCATCTTCCTCCAACTCTGTGCCTCATTAGATGCCGCCTTAACCACACCGTTTAACTGTTCGCACTTGCCTTTCAACTCTTTGTAGTTCTCGATATTTCCGGACAATTCTTGTAGTTTCCTTTGATATTGGTCCATGAACTGATTGTATTCTTTAGCAAGGTTAGCCTCGTGGTTGGGCTCGCCTCGATAGGCGTTACATTCTTCAGATTGGTAGTGATCTTTGTAATGTTGGAGAAGCACATTAGCCTTCACCCGGACTTTCTTGGCGAGCTGTTCGGCCAGTTTCTCTCGTTCAGCTGCATTTTCGTAGTGTATTTTTGTCAGGAACAGTTCTTTTGCTCCTTTCTGTTTCTCATACACTTTTACCATACTCTCTGTATGTTTTACGTCGTCCTTCTTCTGTGCAATTTTGTTAATTTTCTTGGCAACCAATGCTGAAACAAAATGTATCAGGGAATGTGTTCAAAGTATAGGGACAGGTAACATGGTGTGAAAATAGGCTGAAGATTTAATCTCAAGCTGAAAAATCCAAACTTTAATGTCATCTAACCCTCCACTTAACTTACCATGACAATTAACAAACCTTCATATTCCGCGATTTCTCTATCCACAAGAGTGAGATCAGAAAGGAGTTTGGCATTGGTAGCCTCAAGAAGTTCTTTGGTGTCCTTTATAAGTTCCATGTCACCTGGTTTGGGTTCATCCCATGGGATGCCCTGTGTCTTCAATTCAGCTTCGTTTTTCTTTCTCTGAAATTAAGATGAGGAATGAATGAAAATATGGATTGCAGGCATGGCTAATCGAGGCAATTTTGATGACATGTGATGGACCCCGACCAACCAAGTTTAACTTGAACTTCTACTCTCAAATAAAACAACAAACCTCATCTTCCAATTGCATCGCCTGCGCTTCAATTCTTTGAGCAGTCTTTTTCTCAGCCTCAATATTGCGGTTAATGCTGGCCATGTAGACTTCCAGAGCTTGTACCTGAGTTATGAACTTTTCGGATGACTTGTCAGTATCCTGGACCTGCTTTTTAACAAAATCTCTGGATTTCCCCGCAACATCTATTTTCCTCTCCTTGTGAGATATTCCATCCTTCAGTCCTTCGATTTCTCTGTTCAACTTAACGATCTCATGGTAGATATCGTCATCGAACAAAGTTTGAGCTTTGGTGTTCTTGTAAGTCATCAAAGTTTTATAAACTTTGACCTTCTCCATAGCTCTCATCAAATTGACAATTTGTTGTTCCTTCTGTTTGAGATCAGCTACGTATTGTCTGCAAGAAGGACCGACAGCGTCCTCAAACCAAGTCATAATGAGATCCTGGTCAGCTCCTTGAACTGTCTTAACGAAGGCTTCAAGCTGCTGCATGGTGTACTGTGCCTCGTGTGCTATGTCACGTGCAGTGTTGTGAATGTGCTGGTTCACTGCTCCGTAATACGTGAACAGATCCTCCCTCTCTTTCGCTCCAGACTTTACAGCTGCTATTCTCTCCCATTTCTCAAACTCAATCTTTTTGTTCGTCAGGTAATGTTGGGCCCCCAAGAAGTCCCATTCTGTTGGAGGAGCAGCGGTGTCTGGTCCAATATGATCGATAACATCCTGGAATATAGCGATCAACTTTTTGTTGTATCTAACAACCAAATCCATGTCATGTAGGAGTCTTCTCCGTTCAATTTCCGTGTTGTGATCCGTGTTTGACACTTCTTGCGCCAAAGAAAGCAGACTTATGCGTGCCAAGAGATCGTCACTGGTTGCTTTGATCAGTTCTCCCTCAGGAAATGGTCCATGTGCTCTAACTCTTGTCAGATATCTACCTTCTACCTTGCCAAATGGCTCTGTTACCACTGAAAGGTGCGATTAAGGTTGTTATTGGAAAGTTGGTGACAAAGTAAAAACATTTCAACGGATAGTTTTAATAGACGGGTGAAAGATTCTTCAATAACACCCAACTTACAGATTTGGTCGGGTTCCTTGTGGTGTCTCTTGGGCCAGGGCACAGCATCAGGAAGTCGTTCCATTCTTTGTTGCCTCTGCTTTTCATATCTCAAAACTGCAATCAGAGATTTGATCGATTGGTGACGACAGTTTGCAATAATAATGTTTCGATCAACAATTAGCCCAGTTCATTGAAAATGGAATGACAAGAAAACAAACCATCAGGATCCACAAGACTCTCCTGGTACAGTTGTCCCATCTCTGGTAGAACACCGGGGTTGTTATAAACACCATCCTCACCTCCTTCTCCCAACAGTGCTAGATAGTCGTAACCAGCCTCGTCATAATATGCAACTGAGACAAAATTGGGAATGTGTCAACCATTTCTAAATTCCAGATCTACCAGATCTGTTGTTACATGGGAATGTGATCTCGAGTGCGTGCGTTACCTGCACGGAATTCCTAACGCACGGAATTCGAGCTGTCGGGATTCCGTGTATTGTCGGAATTCCGTGCGGGAACCGATCTGAGCTCAGATCGCATGATCTATAATTCCCTGGATATCTGATAACTGGACAGAAAACACTTACAGTACGTTGTTTCTTCAACTTGATCTTTGTACTTTTCTTCATTGTACACATCATCTGAAAAAGATGATATTGTTAGAGTTACCCGGTCGTAAGTTTTGAAAAACTTGTGACTTAAACTTGAGATTTGAACTGATTTTTATCGTTTGAAAAGAGTTTGCCGGTGCGCTCTAAAACTAATATTATTATACTAACATTCCATTTGAGTTCTAGCAATTCTCTCCATTCCAGCAGGAGGAGCCTGATTAAACTCAGGTAAAGTAGGATCGTATCTCCTGGCATGTTCATGATGCCTCCTAGCTCGAAGATAGTCCAATGCTCGATCCTTGTTCCGATTCAGCCACTGTTCCACCTTGCTTTCCTCTACCAGTGCAGTCTGGCGTGCCAACTTTTCAAGACTTCGTGACCTCATTCGCTGTTCAGGAGACGGTACCATGTGACCCTCCTGAACTGCACGGGGTTTGATTGTTACTTTACTCATTTTATTACTTCTTGTGATGATGGGATAAATCACGCTTAAATAATACCACAGTTCGATTAACAAGAACGTATGAGGATTAATCAAATCTTTTAAACTTACACGGTCCCCGGCCGTCAGCGTAATCCCCCATCTCCCGAGCGATCTTGACCCTCATGTACGTATCAACGAGTGTAGCCCAGTTAAAGTTCCATAACTGATAGTGTTTAGCGTACTCAAGAAACTCGTTAAAAGAAGCTGAGTTCCCAACTACCATCTGCAGATTTGGTACATCTGACTCTTCCATTAGAGCGTAGTAAACGTACGCTTTAAACTGCTCCGTCAGCTCTTCGTTTGGGGCTGGGTACCTTATTTTCTCCAGGTCAGGGTGAATCATAGCTCGAATGTGAGGCAGTTTCCATGGCACTCCTGAAATAAGAAAATGCTTAGATCGGTTATCACTCAGATTTTTTAAACATTGATCTTAAAACTAAACTTAATAAGAGCTACACAATTGACAATGCATTGTGCAAGAAATTGAAGATGATTCATCGAAACATATTATACGAGTTGTGCTATACACCGGAAAAACAAGCAGCAAACCAAAGATGTAAAAGTTCGCAGATACCTGGATTACGGCGGCAGCTCTCGATATAATGATTGTAAGCATAATAACACTGTTGAGGAGTTTCATATCCACGTCCCAAAATCTCTCGACGATTCTTTTTGACAAACCGCACGAAGCTCACCCATTGAAGATCTTTTTTCAGTTTTTCACACAGCTTCTTATCAGAACTTAACCCCTCGGCCAAATGAATTTCTGACGAAGTCCTAAGCTCAGGATCTTCATAATGTTCTTGGAGGAGAAAGTCATCAAGAGGAGCATCTTCGTCCTCATTTAGCTCGGCTCTTATTAAAGCTTCGAAGTCTTCATCATCCTGATGTAACCAATCAGGCTCCTTCCATTCATTTGCCATAGTTAGTGCTCTTGATTCTATTGTGATAATGCAGATTAAACACTTTACACTAGACTATTACGTGACTTACTTAAACACGTTCTCTAGACGTTGCTGCAGAGGGACTATTTAAATCTCTAACACAATACTCTGACCCCTTAACTCATTCCCTAACTAAACTCATAAAGCATCTGCTAAAACCCTTACTGGGCGGCGCTCAGTCTGTCATTCCGCCGAAACTCTATGTTTATGAAAATAATAGCCTGGAGCTGGGGTCCCCAGATAACTAAAACCCTATAAACTCTAACGAAAAATTAGATGTCACATGATCATGATCTAAACAGTTTCGATCGTCACTCATATCCTATATGAATATTGCAAAATCGTTAAACATTGCAAGCAATATCAATGTAATTTAAATTTGTATACAATTAATTGTTCAATGAATAATGTTATAATAATGATACGCGGTAAGAATTTAGCAAACTAATCTGAGATTCTGAGCATACCATTGTCCATTATTGAGATGATGATTTAAAATCACTCTACACTCGACTGTCACGTGACTTTTTCAACCCGTTCTCTAGCTGGTCCTGAACGACTATTCGAAACACTAACCATTTAATTTGATCACAACCCTAACCCTAACCCAATCTTTAACAAAAGCATATGCTGAAACTCTAACCCTAACGAGAAATTAAACTAACTTCCTTATACGGTCATATCACGTGATCGAGACAGTTTTTTGCCAATATCTCGTCAGGGGAGAATTTCAACCCTATGTCATGGGGGGTGATTCGGAATCAGCGTCCGAAAATACATCGGATGTTGCTGGTTTCAACTTTTTAAACAATTTTTAGAACAATTTCGAAGATCGACTGTAGAGTGATTTAGCACGCTCGCCATTATTGCAATATTTATATTTTATTAATTGTCCAGAAATTTTAAATATTACTTCAATTGTCAATGCAATGCGATAAAACTTTTGGAAATTTGAAACAAAAGCCAAAACTCTACTGAAAATGCACAAATCAAATGACTAGCACGCTGGATTGCAACATTGTACACGCACGTGACAAACATTTGTTCTGCAAAGTTATTTTTAGGACAATAACCCCATTTATTGCGCGGCGCTAACACGGTCAGCAAATCCACGAATTTGTCAGTAGGAAATGTTTTAAATTATACAAATGTATTAAATTAATTATTTTAGAACAGTTTCAAAATTTTAAAATGAAAATGTGCATGATTATATTTAAAAAAGATTTTAGTCGAAATTTGTTAGTATTTTACAGGAAAGCGACGCGCAATTGTACTTCATACGTTAAAAGCCTGTCGCACTACGAATCTGGAATCGAGCGCTTCGCTTGCTGCGCTCGACTGAATTACGCCGCAATGTTTGAACTATGATCGTCTAGTCCCTTGCCATTTCCCTTTCAAAATAGCTTTCTGTGCTACAGCTTACATCTTTTCAAATTACCATTTCCATGAAAATGGTTGCTTGTTTGCCACATTATTCTAATTAGTTGAGTCTCTATACTCTCACAGTTTTTTCATTATTCAAGAGACAAGAGGATAGCAAATTCTGTTTTGAACCTTGTATTGGATATATCGGCTTTTTGCGGTGTTCTATCCGTAGAGGTTTCTTTGTGTGGAGTATTGATCGCATACTATTTTTACTGTTCAATTAACACTTCCTGTGCTAACTGGGAGACCTGAATGCATTTAGCTCCGGCCTGAGTATTGTGTGGTATTTTTCTGCTATTAGCAGATTTTAAATCACACTAGTGGTGTTTATTCCCAAACAGTTTATTCTCAAGTCAAGCTTTAAAACGTTTTAGAAAGCTGAGGGGCCATCTTGGCCGTGGCATATGTGCTACCATAAGTACTTGAGTCAGAAAATACTCTGGCACAAGTTTGTTATAGACTCTAATTTCCACAATTTGCTTATTATCTTGCCAATGCCCACACAATTTCTCGACTAAAATGTATTCAAAATGTATACGAATGTATTCAAAATGTATACGAATGTATAATGTGCATTGTGGATATGTGGCTTCATTAGAATCCAAATGGTATTTGTATTCTATTGGGACAATTTTGAAACATTATGTAGTTTCATGATATGACAGCCAAACTTAGAATCAAATCAGTCAATCCTCTATATACCATGCCTATATTCTATACCTGGTACCTCGATGTACTGGGCCTCGTTTTTTCCTCCAAACTTTAAATCAATTAGCCTGGAATTGGCCATTAATGTAGTAATTTGTGTTTGTCATATCGTATTTCAGCATTTGGTGGTGGTCTGAGTACACGTCGAACTATATTCCATGATTATAAAACACAATACATGCACTTAAGGCCCAAAAGGTTGAGCTTTTCATCTAACGTTTAACAAATTCTTCATATCATGTGTCGACGCTTGCCAGGTTGTTTGAGAGACTACTGCGAATTCACGAATTGGGATCATGTGCACGTTTCGCTTCCCCCGAGAGGTCCTGTATATAGACTATAGAGGTTTGACTGTAACTTTAATTGATATAATGGGTACAGTGTCTGGTTCCGTCAAGTGTTTAAACTGAATACCTTAAGGACTGAATCCCCGAAGGACCGAATCCCTACTGCTTACCCTAACCCTTTCTCTAACCCTAACCGTAGCCCATTATTATGCGGTAGTGATTCGGTTCGCTTACCAACCTGTCCACCTTCTTTGAAAGTTGCACAGTAGTGTCCTCTGCCATTGAGTGGCCAGTTCCCAGTTCAATAATTCTCAAGCCTGTTCTCATATGCGCAGGTTAAATGGTTTATGTTCGGGATTGTTATATATTGATTTGAGCACTGCTTAAAGGTGTTGTGAAACGGGTATTTTTTACATCAACTGTCTTTTTCTTTAAAAAGGCATAAGATGTATAGAAGTGGAAGGAATTGAGAATGGGTATAGTAGGTAGGTATGTTTTTCGTTCGGTGTCACAAAGGAAAACATGCATAACCCTCCGCATACGTTATTTTAATGTATATTGTCCGCGCGCAGAGCAGTTATGGTGTCGTCGACATGGTTACCCTCCGCATACGTTTGCACGATTTGACGATTGATTGAATTACACCTCAAATGCGCGGCGCCAAGCATACAATTTGAATTCTATGGTAATTGATTTGAATAAGTATAACAAGCGATTTCCCGAATCTTATAAATGTGTCAAGTAGCTCACGCTCTTCTTTACTTGATCATTGATCATGATGCGGTACAACATACTAACTTCTCGTTTTGTTGTGAGTGCTTGATTTGTTATACGAAATGGACCATAAATGTTATTATGAGTTGCATGATTACCTACTACGGATTTCACGACTTTTATCTGCATATCACCACACAGGTGCAGGCTACGGTGTCCGGTCATTTAACTTTTTAAATTTGACTATTGACAATGGCAACCCCTCCACTTTATGTTCCGTAGCGCCCCAAGAATGGTAAATAAAGAACCGTTATTTAATATTTTGACCAACATGAAACTATCGTTAATTTTAATTTCAAGTTCCTGCTCAGAGTAGAATCGGCGGCAGCAAGCGTGGGACTACACATAAACGAAGGCAAGACCAAGGTCATGACACTGAATATGGAGGATCGATCTAGCGACCTACAAAGTCGATCCGGGGAAGCCATAGAAAATGTAGATGATTTCATCTACTTAGGCTCCTGGATTGAGAGCACAGATAGGGAGATAAGGGTTAGAAAGGGAAAAGCGTGGGGTGCCCTACATAGACTGAAGGATATCTGGAAATCCAAACTCTCAAAGAGCCTAAAGATTAGATTGTTCATAGCGGCTTGTGAATCAGTACTGCTCTACGGATCAGAAACCTGGACACTGACAAAGGCTCAAGAGAAAAGTTTGGACGGGACATACACAAAGATGTTGCGTATGGTGCTGGGTATCTCATGGAAGGACAAGGTCAGCAATATAACTTTGTATGGTAGCCTCCCAAGGCTGTCAAACAAGTTACGAAGCAGGAGATTAAAAATGGCGGGACACTGCATCCGACATCCTGAGCTACTTGCCAGTGATTTAGTCTTATGGGAACCTACGCACGGTAGAGCACAGCAAGGCCGACCAAGACAAAGGTACTTGTCTATGTTACTGAAGGAAGTTGGGACAAACTCTAAAGAGGAACTGCGAACCCTGATGCGGGACAGGGATATATGGAGGGGGTTTTCTGGCGTAGATCGGACTTAGCTCCGACATAGTAGTAGTAGTAGTAGTAGTTAATTTCAAATTTTAAAAGGCATGGCAATCACTACGGTTGATGGAAATCTAGCGTCCGCTAACCGGCGCAATTCTTGTTAGAGCTAAAAAGCCCTGTTTGTTCACCAAATTTAACAAGGTTTGAATTAATAATGATCCACTGTTCCACTACATTTTGCTAAATTCCTGAACTCTCACTTTCATTTGTGGTATAAAATGTTAAGTTTACAATTGTTGAGTCATGGTGATTACCAATAATTTGTTGAATAATAAGTTGAATATGTTGAATAATAAGATACAGATAATCGCATTATTATCAACAATCCGAATAAAATCAAACTACTACATAAATGTTCCTGACACATTACAGTATGATATTAACGAAATTTGAATCGCTATTATAACAAATCTCCTTCGATTGAACTATAATTTAATGTCAAATAATAAATTACAAATAATTAAGTTAAATAATTTAGAAGTCACAATAAAGTCGTTTATGCTTTTTGTTCATGCTTCCAGTTTATAGTTTTGTTTTTGGACCATACGGCCACGCTCTTCAGTTCAAAACTAAAACGCCGTTAGATAAAAGAGATCCTAAAAAGTAAAATCCTAAAAGAGTTCAAATATAACTATTTTTTCATCTGTAGAACAGAAAAGTGATGAGTAATCCTAAGAGGCGAAGGGCAGAGTTGCTGTATAACGATGAAGTGCTGCTGCTATACATACTGTAACCATCTGGAACTGGCACTCTTGATCTTTGCTCTCGCACTTTTGCATGAATCTGGGGGAAAATCTAATCTTATTCTATGAGATAAAAACTCTTTTGTAGCATACTCCATACAGTAATTAGTTTTCTATATAATCGTTCAATAGTTTCAATTTGGTTTATTTAGGCTAAGTTCTTACCGTAGAAATTACATTGTCCACTTTTCGGACATAGTTGTTAACTTCAATAGCAGCTGGAGAGTCTGTGACAGGCGAGTGGGATTTGGTTTCCCGACTTGGTTTGTTGTCTGCTGCACTTCTGTCGTAGTTTCCTACTCCCTGTCCCAGCCAGCACCTATCACAAAAGAGATGTTAAGTTAGTGGTTAGGATCCAGCTTTTCTGAATTTTAATAAGCTGTAGTGAGTAAGTAAGAACCACTTTGAAGAGAAGTTCACTGCAAAACATACAGTTGAGCCTATTGACACTTTCTTTGATCAACCTAGTCCTCTCGCTGACCCTATTACTGCTATTGAAGTTGAGATGGCTGCTAAAGCTTTAAAGAATGGCAGAGCCACTGGGCCTGATGATATCCCAAGTGAATTGATTAAGTATGCAAACAGTAGTGTATTTCAGAAATATGCAGACTGTATAAATACCGCATTTGAAACAAACACCACCATAACATCTATTGGAAAAGGCAACATTACTCCACTCCAAAAGCCTAAGAAACCACTTGGTCCAGCAGCAAACATCAGACCTCTCACCCTCTCAAACTGCTCCAGAAAATTACTGTCCATGATTACCCTAAAACGTATCCAAGGCAAGCTAGATCAGTACACCGGTCCTACACAAAGTGCTTACAAGAGAGGTAGAAGTTGTGGCGATATCATTTGGTCTCAACGTATGCTAACCTCAGTGGTACTTAGAAAGCATTGGAGCTACCACAGAATGAGTATAGACATGTCAAGTGCCTTTGACACCATCAGCAGAGAAACAGTACTCAATTTTCTTGAAGATGCTGGCTGTACTAGTGATGAAATTAGGATGGTACGGCTCCTACTATCAAACACAGTGTTGAAAGTAAAAGTCAATAATACTGTATCAATTGAGTTCCAAAGCACAACTGGAGCATTTCAAGGAGATGCACTATCAGGTAATCTATTTACTGTTGTTGAAGCCGCTGCACTTATTCACCTCAGATCTATACTCTCCCAAGTATCATCAACACCTTACCCAGTGAATCATCCAATCCCTAATCCTCCTATCTCAGAAGAATTCATGCCACTCGAAACAGGATACTCTGATGATATTGACTTTAATAACACTGAACTTGCTCCACTCAAAGAAATGCTTCCTATCGCTAAAGATATATTCCAGCAGTGGGACCTTCATATCAATCCTTCCAAGACTGAATTTGTCCATTTTTATTTAGCAGATCCTAAACCCACTGTTAAACGCAAGGTGATTGTTGGAAAAGTGTATAGAGGTGATGAAGAGTGGCGCTCTAACAAAACTTTAGGATCGTTGATGTGCACTGTTAAGGATATCAAGAATCGAATATTTCTTGGTAATGTTGCCTTTAGTAAATTTCAGAAAGTTTGGATGAAGAGCAAGATTTCAGTCCAAAGGAAGATCAAAATCTACGAGGCACAAGTAGTCTCCATTCTACTCTACAACTGCAACTCCTGGGCTGCACCACTAGCTTCGTTGAATGAACTTGACATTGCTCATCGCAAACACCTCCGAAGAATCCTCAACATCAGATGGCCTACTGGGGTTATTTCTAATGAGGCACTCTATGCTCGTTGTTATGTCACTCCCTTGTCTGTGAGAGTCTCTAAGTTTCGATGGAGAATGTTAGGACATATCTTAAGAGGACAGGAAGACTCACCAGCATACACCTCTATGTTATTTGCTATAAATTCTGAAATTTTTTGGAAGGGAGACGGGGTAGACCATGTTTAAACTTATTAGATGTTATTAGAAAAGACTTGACTAGTAGAAATCTTGATATTAGACTTAAGAATTTGACTGATTTCGAAGACCTTAGATTTTTAGCTTTAGATAGGGAGGAGTGGAAGAAGTTAGAAGATGGTTGATGTTTTGTTTTCTTTTTTATGCGTTTTGATATCTATAAGGTGCCTAGGATGCTCTTTTAAAGAGATATTTCGTACTTTGAAAGATTTTCTACTACTGTAGTGAGTGTAGCTTTCATCCGCTTCATTCTGGATATAATTCAGCACTGTTAAAAATAACTAGCTTAAACACACACCAAATCAAATAGTGGAACTCACTTAGTGTCAGAGGATGACTGTTTACATGAGTTTCTATTAAGGGTGTAGCTGCTGAAGAAGCCAGATAGAATTAAGTTGAGCTGCTGTCCTTCGCTCATCTGTCTCTTACTTCTCAATCCTTCTGGGTTGTACGAAAATACTGATCGTTTACCAACTCCACGGCACTGAAGTAAATCTGTTTTTAGATTTAAAATTTGCTTAATTTCTCATGAGGATCTAAACACTTCATATTTAAAACTTTTTTGTTTTCTAGGATCAATATCAAATCGAAGAGACTTATCACAAATGCTAAATAACCTGCTTAAAGTTTACGTTGACCATTGAGGACATGATGTCTTGTGTTACTTCTTCAATGAGATCAGGAGTAACTATATCTTTTGGGTCTATCACGATGTCTTTCATGAGAACCATGGCATCAACCAATCGTGTTAAACTGCAAAGGTTATGTTTAGTTGAGTCGGGATTGAGATAATGGGGTATCAAGATTACAACCTATAATTTAGGTGTGCCAAGAAATCAAGTATAGGAATATAATTAGATTATATTATCCCGAGCAAATCTGATCATATCTTTAATAATCATTTAAAAACTAACCTCTCAACCCACTGAGTCCACAGTGAGGACTGATCGTAAACATTAGCAAGACAGTGGTTGGCCGAGGCAGTGCAAGTAGACCTACAAACTTCAGGCGTCTTGACTCCACATCTTCGACATCCCAGTAACTGGCCGTAGGTACAGTCCTCCGGAAGGTCGAAGTCTTCTATTGAGTTTAACAGGGTATCTGCTACCACAAAACCATCTCCGAACGTTTTCGGGGCTTCAAGCTGATCTGTGATGGAGTAAATTAAGTGACTTATTAATTTCTCTTTCTTTGGTGCATGGATCATATTTTCGGTAAACTATTTAAGTTCGAATGAGAAATGGTATAGCCTTTAAGACCTACTTTCCACGATAGCAGATATTTTCAGGAAGGCTTCAGTAGCATGTGTACCCAGCTCTCTGATAATACACTGTGTCATGTCTATCAGATCTTGTGCAGCTTTGTCTGTGAACAGCAAACTGCTCCCAATCACCTGTAAAGTGAGATGTTAGTTATTTTAATTATTAGTAGATGGGATAATTTGTAATTTATGAGTTTTCCCAATTGTCAGATCTTAAAATTCTTGGAAAGCTTGCCTTCTATATTCATATTGCAGCTTGGATTTATGGACTTACCGCAACTTCTATAGTGAGGTTGTAGGCAGTGATCTCTCCTAGAGTGTACTGCCAGATTGCAGCTCCAATCCTGTTGAGGTCTATGTTTTCTTTTATATCATCTGGTACCAGCTCCTCCATCATCTGTACCATCGTTCCTGGTGGATTGTTAGTATTAAACAAATAAACCTATTAATCTTGCATAATCTGCAATGTTACTGCTAACGTGAAATCTCTAAAATATACTTGTCCTGTTATAAATCTTCATGGTGAAGTTTTATACGTTGAAATATATGCAAGGATAATTAATATTTGTTTTAATAAATTAGCTACAAAATAAGTAATAATAAGACATGAGGACTATAAACAGTAAATACCTGCAGTCATGTCCTTGACAGTGTTGAGCGTGTTCCTGATTTCGCTAACCTCGTGATTAACAACTCGTTTCAAGCTCTTGACTGTGTTGTTCAGCACCGCTGATTCCACTTCTAAACTGCAGCATGTCCGGGACAGGGGGCATGTTCCTGAGATAACAATAATTTATTGATATCTGTTCTGCAGGATTCGTGAAAATAATCCTAGTTACATAATTTGTACACTATTTCTGTCCTACACATAGGAAATCAACTTTAAGGGCTCGTGTTGTTGATGCAGATTTCTTGGCTATTTGGAATGTAACATTTCGAATCTTCTGTCCTGTTTCTGATTTATCACGATCAGTTTAAACAATCCATAGTAATATTTTTACCATCTGAATTCTTGAGTGGTTTCCTCCCAATCTTGAAGTCTGAAAACTCTTTCTTTAAATCAATACACCCTGGAGCTCCTGCAAAATATGTATATAATTTTTATGTGACTATAAATAAATGAAAATATAAGTTAATGCATTTCTTACCGACATTAAGTCAGATTCCAGTTGTGTGTTATTAAATGAAACAAGAAATTTCAACACCGTGGTTATATTCAGAACCGTCTGTGACCGTTAGAACCGAAGTTATCTCAAAACTATATTAAAATGTCAATTCATGAATGTCAAGTGTTTCATGGATTTTATGAACATAACTTTAAAATTTAAGCGGTCAATGTTTATGAAATAGTCATTAAGAAAAGTAAATTACCGTATAAGAGAGTTATCTGTGACAGTAACACAGCAGTAACCAACAGCATCCTGAGCAGTAAAACGTTACAGAGTGTTTACAATTACAAATGTTAACTGCTAATGTTATAAACTTGGCCGATATCCTGAACATTACACCACTAAACGACAATCATTACACAAGTTATCAAAACCACTAACTAGCCTGTAGATGTAGGAACCTGAGTAACTTATAAGATGGAAGGATTTGAAAACCTTGGATTAAATCGTACTTGGGTACGGAAATCCGAGTGAATTAAACGTACGGCTGAAATCGAAAACCGCGTTGAATTTTTGATGAAGGATTCCTAAGTTGTAATTAGAAAATCTAATTTGAAATCAGCGGAAAGATAAGATCAAATTGTCAAAGTGCAGGACTGGATATTCTGCATAAAGTTTCTGTATCAGGCAAGGACTAACATAATATGTGTTTCCGTTTGGGTTTTAAAGTTTTTTAAAAGCATGGAATGTGCCCTCATATTACCGACTGCCGATAACAGGCCAAGAATGTGTCGATCATGCGCTGAATGGTGAACCGTAAACAATCCGCTAATATTTGTCCAGTCGCTACAGTGTGGCAAAAATAAACAAGTTACTTCTGAAGTGATAGCTTGTTGCTTTTATAGCTATAGATATCCCTTCCGGAGGGCTGACCTAAACTGTGATGACGTGATTGAACCACTGTGTCTCGTGGCCACGCCTGCTCCGTTCTCTACAATCCAAAACAACAACAAACTATTTGGGGAATTTCCACGGCCAGCGAGCTGATCAGCTGATTCTGATGCTGTGTCGAGAATGAGGCGATCTTTCTCTAGATCAGACTGGAGCTGACATGCGTCCAGAAAGAGCAGGAGAGCGAGAGAGAGAGAGCTTGAGATGATAGTTAATTAACAAATTACTATGCTTCAACAAGCCCGCCAGTTATTACCGCCTCTCTATTTGGTTGTATATTTTCTAAAATCTGGTGATGGCTGTCGTGGTAGATCGGTCGAATCTTTGGTGGTCGGATGATCATCATCAGTCCAGCTAACTTGCAAGCACACTTGTAAACGAAACAGCAAGCTAGATAGATATTACAGTTCACTGTGATAGATATGGCGTGATACGGAATATTTGTTATTTTCTAAAGAACTAAACTAAACGAACATACAAGTTGCAAACGTGGAGGAGTAAACGATCGTATCTTCAACCAACAGTAATTAGATTACTGTTAGATAATCAAATCGGTTATCTTCGATAGACTCACCTGCAAAACAATCTGTGGTGGAGCCCTCAAAGATGGGTTGAAGTTGAACATGGTGCATGAGGTTAATTGAAAACTAATTTTCGGGCCAAACGAAGTTATTTACATCCTTACTTTAGGCATTCTTCCAGATTCCTATGGTATTCAAATATATAAAGTGCAAATTTGGAAGATTTAATTGGATTTAACCGTCTTAGTTTACTTGCAACGATAGAATTTCCAAGTCTTACGATCCCATGCTAATATCAGGTGATAAATCTCCTGAGCAAGACTGCAAGAGTTAAGTGATAGACAAATACTAAGTACTTTTCAGCTGGTACCAGCTTGATCTAAACCATTTCAACAGCAAATCACAGAAAATTATGCGATTGCCCGTCACGCATCTTCATTAATCAGTATGTCCAGCAATGGATAATTCATTTTGGGTCTATTTTGGGAGTACCAACTACCTTAGTCGGCAATATTATGAGGGGGAAAATTATGGGTGTTAAAAATATGGACTGTTATGAATATGGTTCTTTGGCCCGAAAAGAACCAAATTTGACCCCCCACAATTTTAACTGCGACTTTCCTTTCGTGAAAAAATCTCAAATCGAAAATATTGATCAAATTTTTTCGCAATTATAACCACATTGCCGCTTTCACACCAAATTTAATATTTTTTCATTAGATATCCGATCCCTATCAGGTGTTAAAGTTCTTACGAATTGTACACTGCAACGAAACAGCTGCTGCTGAACTTTTATTATTCATCTGAAGTTGCTGATCTGTAATTTAAATTGAAATTGTTCCCAGTTAACCCCTCAAATTGAAAGGATGGGGGAATAGTAGACAAATCGGACTTTTTGAACTAGAACTAGCTTCGATTCAGCAAACAATAACGTAAGCATACTTCTAGACGTGAATGAAAGAAAGGTTAAGCATATTATGACTGATATACCAAAAGAAACACAAAAATTTGACTCGGGGGGTTAAAATATGGACTGTTATAAATATGGTTCTTTGTCCCGAAAAGGACCAAATTAGACCACCCATAATATTACCGACTATGATAAGCAGTAGTAACAAGTTTTAAACTACAGATAACTCAATTCTAAAGAAAACTGAAAATATGCCTGCAAAGTTAAACAAAAAACGGTGTAACATAGTTTTTAAAGTTGTACTTGTCACGTCGCGTCATGCACACTTTTTCCATTGTACTGCCAGCGACCTACATGAAAGCAACAACTTAATACGTCAGACATACGTAGTCACAATGACGTCATGTGCCCACACTAAACACACTAAACAGTCTCACGTACTTATATAGTATGTTGTTATTGTTCACATGAGCGCTAACGTAATCAACTTACTCCCAGCCTAATCAAATCTCTACCATGATTTAAGCCAGTTCACAGAGCGGAAACGAGACATAATATGATTGAAGGAGTAAATCCTCCTTACCTGCCTCGCCTGCTGGTGTTGGATGTAAATAATTTACCTGAGCACAGACCAGCACATTCTAATTAATTAATTGATTAGTTGATTAAAATCATTTCCTGGACCACATTAAAACCTGTTTAGATCCGGAATATATTGCAACATTATCTTAAGGCAACAAAGTGAACCGACGGGGTTATCATAGGATTACAAAACCTTCGTCGCTGACTTAATCGTGTCTGGCGGTTGATCAGAATGACGTAATCGCTTATTTCCATAACGTACGTTGTGTTGTAATGGTCCCTCAATACCAAAGTTATAGCCAGTATTTTAATCTAGATCTGTGAATCTAAAATTCTTCATGCTATTTAGAAATTTTGTAAAGAGCCCCACAGTAGAGGGAAATGCTGTAATAATTAAATTAACTTATCATTTAACATTGACAAATTAATCTTTTCGTTAACATTTAGAAAGGCATGTTTATAAAATTATGTTGGTTACTTTAGATATCAAATAACCAGGGCCCAAAGTAAGATGACAGGATGCCAGCAATACCTGTATCACACACAGGTATTGCTGGATTCCCTGACTCCTGGGATATTACCCATTAACATTTTTATTTGCGAATATCAACAAAAATTTGGTGATAAAATTCTATTCAGTTTCATGAGGCAGTCGGACTCGGATTTGAATAGTTGATATTTAGAACACACACTTCAAATTAAGCGGAGAAGTTTAAATGTGTCACAGTCTCACAGTGAATTCATTAACATTTACTCACAAACAGTTGATTTCGTAGATAGCTGATAAAAACTGATAACAGATCAACTCAAACGTAGCGAAATCTAGATCTACAGTAATTTACTATAACTAAGAAATTCTATAGTAAAGTTTTACGTTAGCAATTCTTATAATTATATTATATATTATATTTAGAGTTCACTATTCTGATTTTAAGGATGTACAATGTACATTGTACACACTCCTATTAACATTCCTTAAATTATATCAGAATGTACCAAAATGGAGTTCTTCAACCTCAGATCTCCAACAAGTCCTACCAGCAAGACCCAACAGTACGGTAGACGTATCTCTGCTGAGCGCCTTGCTGAGCGGCTCCCCACTACACCAGTAGCTCCTGCAAAACGAGATGTGATACAGCGGACTCAGCTGTTTCTTAAGCAACCTGAATCTGGGGTTGGAGCATGTCTGCCTGTTCAGGAGGATCTTAGTGCGGTAAGAGTACAATTCAAAGATACATTATTTCAAAAAACTATGTGTTTGCTGAGCTACTAAACGTAACAATAGCAAACCAAATATCAGAATGAATTTGATATGTAGTATCTTATCTTATGTCTATCTACGTAAATATTTACAACGTAGGTTACATTTCTTTATGATAATTCCTATTCGACCGTATCAATCACATTCCATCAAATGATTATTCTTGGCCTTAAGGCTTAATCCAATCCTGACAACGTATATATTTATTTTAAGTCAGATTCACTTAAAGCCACCGAAAATCATTAATCAATTAAGTAATTGATCATTAATGAACATACATTTCCCAGGTTCACGGTTACTTTAAGAAGAGACCAGTGTACGACCGTCTCCCCATCTGTCCCTACAATGATCAGATCCTGAGAACAGTAAAAGAAAACTCTGTTACAGTGATAACCGCGCCCACTGGCAGTGGCAAGAGCACGCGTGTTCCTCAATACATCATGGACGACGAGTATTACAACGAACGGAGACACTGCAAGATAGTGGTGACTCAGCCGCGCAGGGTTGCTGCTGTTGCGCTAGCACGTCGCGTTCTCGTAGAGAGAGGACTGAAGCAGATAGATCACACGTGCGAGGGTCAGGGAACGCTGGTGGGCTACCAGATAGGCATGGACAAGCAGGTTAATTCTGACACTAGACTGGTATACATGACTACTGGTGTACTGTTAAGGAAACTATGTAACACTGGCAATCTTAACGAGTATACACACATCATACTGGACGAGGTCCACGAACGTGACAAGGAAACTGACTTCCTCCTTTTACTTGTCAAGAAATTCCTCTGTACCAACTCTAAATTTGTCAAGATTGTTATAATGTCAGCGACTGTGAATGCAGATAAATTCTCAAGATATTTCTCGACTCTTATTGGTGGGCTTCCCAGACCTTGTCCTACTATTGAACTTAAAGATGAGATGCATCCTGTAGAGGTATTATATCTAGATCAGTTCAAATCTAGTCTCGGATATCATCGGGAATATGATGAAGTGGACCGGAGCTTGTCTCCTCAGATATCAGATAATATCTACGACCTAGCACGTTCGTTGATTGAGAGTTTTGACGACAGGGATAGGATTTATTATAGTAGTGAGTTCAAGAAAGGGTCAGTGTTGGTATTCCTTCCCGGTATGTACGAGATTGAAACTTGCCAAAATTATCTTCTGAAAGAGTCAGTGAGTAAGACTTACGACATTATTCCACTTCACAGTTCCATCCCCCGGTCCTCTCAAATGAAAGTGTTTGCTCTGCCGATCCCAGGAAGACGAAAGGTAATACTCTCCACCAACATTGCTGAGAGCAGTATCACAGTCCCTGACATCAGATATGTTGTAGACTTCTGTCTCACTAAACAGCTAGTGTGTGATCCAACTTCAGGAATGTCATCTCTGCAGTGCACGTGGGCTCCAAGGTCCTCTCTCGATCAGAGAAAGGGCCGTGCTGGTAGGGTAGCTGCTGGTATCTGCTACAGACTCATACCAAGATCATTCGTCCAAAAACTCAGTGATTTCAACAGCCCGGAGATAAAGAGGTGCTCTCTGGAACAGCTGATCCTGTGGTGTAAGATACTAGATATTGGAGATCCTCACCACATGTTATCACTAGCTCTGGACCCTCCAGATCTCAGTAAACTGCACCAGAGCGTTCTAATCCTAGAGGAATGTGGCGCGTTAACCAGACCTGCTGACCAATCACAGCCCTTCTCAGGTGAGATAACATTCCTGGGACAAGTCATGGGCATCCTCCCTCTAGATGTGAGGCTCTCCAGACTAGTTATGTTTGGGTATGTGTTCAACTGTTTTACGGAGTGTATCGTCATGTCAGCCTGTCTTGCTCTCCCCTCCTTTCTGGAGATACCCTATAATAGTAGGCAGGATAGGATGAGGTCCTACGTAACTAGGATGAGGAAAGCAGCAGGCACGTTCAGTGATCCCATCATGATGTTACACATGTATAACGCCTGGTATGATGCTCACAGTAGGAGCACTGCTGACAGCAGGAGGTTTTGTAAAGATAACTTTATCGAGTTCAGCCGGATTCAAGACGTGGCTTCTTTAGTCCGGGAACTTAGCTCAGGTATTCATAGTCTCAACATTCCTGTGGAAACTATAGAGGAGAGGAAGGTTGCGTACGATGATGCAGCTTATATTGTGAAGCTAAAACTAGCCCTAGCAGCAGCAAACTACCCTAACTACTTTATAAAAGATAAAGATAATGTACACGAGGAGAATGTAATGCAGCTGTTTGGTAACAAATCACCCTCCGATACTGTCTTCTTCACAGGGATGAACATTGACGTGAGATCAGACGAGGAACTACAACAAACCTTCATGGTGGATGTTAACCAGTACTACAAGCAGGGGTTCTGTGATCCGGTCAAGAAACTATCTTTAGAAGGTTCCAGAATGTACGTGACTTTTGAGAACCCAGCAGAAAGAAGTGTGTGTAAGTCTGTGTATTATGCCCTGATGATGAAGAAACTTGGGTTTTCTCTAGCTCTGTCCGAGCGTGAAGGTTCTGAGAGAAGAAGAGAAAATAAGCAGTCTGAAAGTAAGATGAAGAGAATGATACCTATCATAAAAGGAGAGGCTCAGGTTAAGATAGCCCACGTTGCTAGCCCCACTAAATTCTACGTTCAGTTTGTAGATAACGATTTGAGGGCAGAATGGGAGGATACACAAAACAGGCTGCAGGAAATATCAAAGACTCGGGTCCCGTACCAACACCTAAAACCTAAAGCATATGCTGCGTGTTTTTTCGACGACGAGGTAACGCTGTATCGGGTAAGATTGGAATACTTCAAGGGAGAGAAGATGAGAGTGTACTATTTAGACTACGGTAACTTAAAAGACGTTCCCGTAAATCAACTCTTCCAAATACCAGTGCAACTGCTCCGAGTTCCCTTTCAAGCTATAGAATGTTCTCTAGAGAACATCGCCCCATTTCACCGGAACTTAATTGACATGGTGTCAGGTGGCTGGCCACGTGATGTTAACCAGCACGTGGGGGAGGTATTATTGGATAAGATGTTCACTGCACGTGTCTACTACCTTCTGGGAGGGGTTGTTCATCTTGATCTAATGGCAGGTGGGGTAAGTTTTATAAACCTCCTGGTAAGTCAGAACCAGGCTTACCAACCAGAGCCTGACTACAGGGTTAAACTTGCCAGGTCTGTCACTAACGTGTTGGGTATTAGGCTCGATACTGCCTTCTCTGTGTACGAGGATACCTACATCAGACCGTACGAGCGTCCTAACTTCACCTCTAAACGAGCCAAGTTGTCTGGCGGTGATTCACCGTACTTAGTGTCGTTTAAAGGTCTATGTGAGGGAGTTAATAGTAAGATGGTAAGTGTGAGTGGTAGTTCTGTGAACAGTGTAGTGTTGCACCACAACACTGCACTAAAGTTCCAGGAGTTACTGACTGGTAACAGTGTGGCTCTGTCTGGTGATGGTAATAAGATCCTGGTCCGGGGTACCACTTCTCATGATCCTATTCCAGGGTTGCCCGAGATAATGGTTCTTCTGTTTGCTCCTCAGGTACAGCTGCATTGTAGTTCCGGTAAACTTAATTACACTGGATGTATAGCTGGGCTGGGAGCGGTTGAAGGGGCTCCGATCTGGCCTGAGCATGACCTGAAGATGAGGTTCGATGTGAGGTTAGATAACAAGGACTTGACGGATATCAACAAGCTGAGGATGTACATCTCTGATATGCTGCAAGGAGATGAGGATAATCCGTCCACAGTTCACCTAACTCACCAGCCCATCAGACAGCTACAACGTAAGATTTGGAGACTTATCACCGACTTGCTGCAGAGGAGACGGGAAATGCTTTCTCCTTCTGATTATATCCATCTTGATTGGGAACCCACCGCTGGCACTGAAAACGTTGGCCTCCCATCGCACAACAGTTCTGACGTAATAAAACCGTTCCCAGTTCTCCAGACCCGATATCATGGGATAACCCTGGAGACAACAGAGATGAGCAGTAGAGTGTCCAGTCTGATCGAGACTAACTACAGAATTGAGGAGACTACTGGAACTAGAGGAACTGGAAGCACTTACTGTGAACTGTGTGGAGTTCAATTTGAGAGGACCATTCATTTAGCAACTCATCTCAATGGGAAGGAGCATGCAACTGAGAAGTACCGTTTGGATCATTGGACACCACCGCAGTGAGAGGAGTTTTATATTTTACCACCTAAAGACTAAAAACCTGCCTTGATTTATGTTATTTCGTTTGTTTGGTTTTAGCAGATTTAGTTTATATACTATTACTATATCATATAACCACTATGTTCGTTAGAGTTTTTTCATTAATTTACAAATAAACATGTTTTAACTTATTGGTTTTTATTAATCCAGAGCTAGGAAGTTAAATGTTCTGTATATTATGTTGTGTTAGATTTGACAAGTTGTTTGTTTCAGTCAATGCTTTATTGCTTTTAGTTTTATCAAATTTTTATCAAATGCTTTCTATCACTAATACTGCATGTCAGAATTGATTTTTATTTAAGGGATTATTAATTTTTTTAAACCCGATGAATGTATTATAAAATTATCGACTGTTTATTGACTGAGTAATATCCGGATAGGAATTATTGACTGCTATTTATTTTACTACTTATTTTATTTAGTTCACAATTTGGACCATTTCACTGTTTCAATACCTCTGTTTGCTATAATATGTTCATGACAGAAAATCCAAAAAAAATGTATTTATAAAATTTTTCATCGTCATATCAAATTAATCTTTTTGTTAACTGCTAATAGAAGTTTTACAAAACAGCAAAACCCAAACTTGCAAACATTTACCATTCCTCACTAAAGTTTTATAATTAATTCACCAATATCTCATTGTTTCAGGTGATGTACAATGAAGTTCTATGAGCATCTTATTTCAACCTCGACGGGTGGCCTCATAGTGGCACTGGTTGCCACCCCGTTCGACGTTATCAAAGTGCGCCTAATAGCCCAGACGCTTCACAATCACGACAGATCGTGCTTCTATGAGTATTGTGAAGGAGTGTGGAAGGATATTTGTTTGACTTGTGGGTATGAACACCCACCCAAAGCCGTGTATAGAGGAGTGTGTCAGCGTGAGATTTACAGTGGCACATTTGATGCTGCCATGAAAATCAGTAGAAATGAGGGGATTTCAGCGCTGTGGAATGGGGCTGCACCCACCCTGTTAATGATGATGCCGTCAGCTGTTTTATATTTCACCATGTTTGATATGCTGAGAGACAAAGGGAGGGCCAGGTTTGCAGAAAAGTATCATGCTTTTGTACCTTCAATCGCTGGAATCACAGCTAGGTGTGTAAACATAGGTATATTCTCACCTGTAGAACTGGTACGTATAAAAATGCAAAGTGAGCACAAGTTAGTTTACTCCAAGATAAAAGACTCAATCAGAAATCACATCCAAAGAAACGGAGTAAAATCCCTGTGGGACGGAGCTAAATCCCAGCTGTTCAGAGACGTGCCCTTTACCGTGGTATATTGGTATCTCCAGGAGATGTACAAAATCAAGCTTCGTAAGAACGGTTACGGTACCTTGGCTAGTAATTGCGGAGGGGCCTTTGTTGGTGGATCTGTTGCTACGTTAATATCACATCCCTTCGAGGTTACAAAAACCCAACTGCAATCAAATGTTGGTGTGAACTCGAACTATGGTAGTTCTGGGATGGTAAGACAACTTATTAACATTTTCAAGATTAGTGGGACAAAGGGACTCTACGTAGGGCTGGCGCCTAGAATGATTAAAGTTCTGCCTTCTTGTGCTATTTTTATAACAACTTTTGAAGGATTAAAAGAATATTTCAACAGTAAAAACAATGATTGAAGACTTAAACTTATTTCAAGACCGTGGTGACCCTGGTATTGGAAATTTCAAGTCATTTTTAGCAGACATTTACTTCTTGAACAAATTGTAGAAACAAGAATTGTATCGTTCCCGTGGCCAGTGTATCATATTCATTTTTATTCAATTCGACTAAATTGTGTTCTGATTTCTGTGGTATATTATAATGTAAGGAACTGAGACTTATTCTCATTCGAAAATCACACTGAGCTGGACAAGATATGATACGCAAAGTTGCCACTTGTAGAATACAGGCAATTGAACTACCTGGACTCTCGATTTTTAGGGCACTACTTGTTTGTAGCCACATAAACTATTATGTTTACAGGAGGACACGACCGCCGAACCTTTATTATGGTATTGCCTTGCTTTTTTCAGCATTTAACACTAGCAATAGCGCGCGCGCGCCACACAACATGCTAAGTTTGCTTTAGCACGAATTTGTGGCTATTGTTTCTATTCACGGCTATTGTTTCTATTCACGGTTTTAACACTTTTTCATTACTTGTTCTCAATCGAAGTTCGAACTAGTGCGAAGGTATAACAAATTGAAACCCTTGTATATTTTCACCAAGTCAAAACGAAGAAAGTTAAAAATGTTAAGTAGAAATTTTAAAATTCACGGGACAAGTCAACATTTTCTAGGAATAGGAAACAAAGTTCGGTGCAGAGTCCGCAAACAGCCCAACGGATTAAAACAAATCTAAATCCAGTCACAAGTTTTTAGTCTTATAAAATCTGCAAAACAATAGATCCGGACCCCCAGGGGCGCCTGGTTAAGCGGTCATGAGCTTGCGTACTCGCCGGACTAGAGCAGAAGTAAACGACGAGGTCATGCTGGACGATATTTTACTCTGAAATTAGATTTTGTTAGATCACGTGGTCAAATCTGATATGTCCCTTGTATTACAGCGATCCCGTGACGCTAGTTTGTGTCAGTGCCAAATCATGCGCTCAGTGAACTGTGGAACGTATTAAACTTTAAAGTGGATGAGTCGACGCCTACAATGATGGGCTTAAAAGTGAAACTGTGCATATCATTCGATGCACAATGAGGGGCGAGGACCGAGGTCATATCTGATCACTATGTATGAGATCATCATCTTCTTTAAACAGGGTCATCATTATTTCGGGATTATTTCATTGCAAGAGACAAATTTGTACATGATAGTCTACTGTAGTCTACTGTAGTGTTCAACTAACCGAGCAAAAGTCGACGATTTTCTTCAGAAGAGGATCCGTCAGGTGAAGAGGTAGCTCTCTCGTTAACTGAAATTCAAATGGCTAATGAACAAGGAAAACAATCAACTTTTTGATCACTTTTTAGAAACCTTACTCAGCTCAAGTTCCTTTAACCAAAGCAATGTCGACTGCATTAGAAAAAGGTTTTCATTTATGATATATTAAGACGCAATGAAACTACCGGACTGCGATGTATGGGGACTTGCCACCCCATGGCAACATTAAAATATATCGACTCTGTTACATCGTTTCCTCAATAAATGTAATAGATTTGTAGTGTTGTAATTAGTTTAAATATATCATCCCACCACTGCCCAGAAATCTTACATTTTTTATGTAGTCCTGGTTAGAAGAAAGCAGTTTCTTGGGTAGAGGTTCCCCTCCGATCCCCTCAGTAGGATCCTTGCAGTACACAGTATAATACTGGACATGTCTCCACAACAAAAACACCAGATTCTCAATCAGCTGGGTATAGAGGGATAGCTCCTTATCTTTGGTTTCAGCCAGCTGTTCAAGTCTGAGTTCAGCGTATTTGGCTCGCTGTACTGCACTACATTTTTCAGTGTCAGGTGCTATACAGCTTGCTAGTTCGCGCTGTTCTTCAGTACTCAGCTGGTTAACGTGCAATGCCTGGGAGGGAGGGGTTAGAGGGAGGGAGGGAGGGGTTAGAGGGAGGGAGGTGTTAGAGGGAGGGAGAGAGGGGTTAGAGGGAGGGAGGTGTTAGAGGGAGGGAGGGAGGGAGGGGTTATAGGGAGGGAGGTGTTAGAGGGAGGGAGGGAGGGGTTAGAGGGAGGGAGGTGTTAGAGGGAGGGAGGGAGGGGTTAGAGGGAGGGAGGGAGGGGGTTAGTAGGGAGGGAGGAGGGTTAGAGGGAGGGAGGGGTTAGAGGGAGCTGTTAGAGGGAAGGAGGGAGGGAGGGGTTAGACTGAGTCAGCAAGCTCCATTTCAGGCGGTAACGTAATTACTAAAAATAAGTTATATTGTTGGAGTTTCCGGTTCATAATGAGGGTAATTTGTCACGTTCTGAAGTTTGAACCGAAACCAAAACTAAATCGCGTAATGGCAAATTTATAGAACATGATCATTGATCTATCAACATTCAACCCATCAATGTACCCTGATAGAACTTGTTGAACATACCTTGTGTATAAGCTGACTGTATGCGTCTGAATGGTGAGACGATGCTTCCAGACCTTTCTGCAGCAAACCTATCAGTAGATTCAAGTTGTTTCCTTTCTTTGTTCCTAGTAAGAGAGAAAGAGATCAGGCACAGTGAAAGGCAGAATGTACACTATTAATATAATCAGCATGTTTACAATTTCACCACCAGAGTAGTACTCACAAAGGCACAATCCCTCACATTATCTACCTACCTAGTTCAGGGGAGAAAACGGCGTGTATGACGCTCGTGTTCCCCATTGCAGACACGCAATACGACACCACATTCGTTATTATCTGTAACTTTATCGTCTGTACCTCCAGGTCCTGTAAAATAATTAAATATTAGACTCTCGCTCAAAGTAATAAGTATTGGGTGGTGTCTCATGGTTAGCATGGTGGTGTCTCAAGGTTAGCATGGTGGTGTCTCAAGGTTAGCATGGTGGTGTCTCATGGTTAGCATATGTCATGCTGCGGGGTAATTCCATAAAATGTTTATATTTACATCACACAACTGACATACTATGCTATCATACCTCTATTATTTTATCATAATACGTATTACCTATGGTGCTAGCTTAATCCAGTGAACATAATTTGGAATCCTGCCAAATTATTTAAAACGTTCGGGTGACGTGTGGCATGTACATTGTAAATAAATACTAATGTAATCATTAAAAATCCAATCGACTCCTCGCACAGAAATCAATGGGACCCGGAAAGTGACCCACTGACTATTAGTCTAAATATACTAATCAAACCAAACAGACTACAAGCCCAGTTTTGTATGGATAATGTTAGTATAAAAACTGCTTCAGTAAAATTAGCCGTTCAGAGGGACCCAGAGCTCTAAAAGACTATAAAGACTATAAAGGGGGGGGGGGCCAATGGCATAAAATGGCATAAAATGGAGACTTTTTCTATGGAGAAAATGGAAAAACCCATGAGTAATTCTCCATTTTCTCCATTTTATGCCATGAATTTTGTCTTCGAAATTTCATCTTTAACACCATTTAACACTTAAATTGGACATCCTAACATGTTTATTTACGCTTCTAGGGGCGTAACAAGCTTATGAAAGCTCTTAGTAGGCTACTAGATGCGTATACTAGGTTAGTAGAGGCACACTTCAGGCAAACTCATAATTACTCAAGCCTAGTGTAAAGTTATTTCTACAGGCTACAGCAGGAGTGAGTAATAGGGGAGAGTAATAGGCACTGAGAAGTGAGACCTACATCCTCGAAAGTCGAAACAAGCTCGCACTGCAAAGGGGAGGCCTGCCTTCCGAGATCGCATTACCAGGGGGAAGCCTCGAGTCCAAATGTGTGTATCGAGGGGTAGGTGTAGACTTCGATAAACCGAAAAACCAAAAAAATATTTTCGGCTTATAATGAAGAGGGTAGCATGAAACGTGGAGAAAAGTGATTTTTAGAAAAACTTTGAAAAATTTTGACTTAGAAAATTTTCGGCCCGAGTCATTCTCGATACGTACCTCTCGTATCGAGAGCTCCCGATTCCGAGCTCGTGTTGCAAAGGGGAGGCATGCCTTCCGAGATCGCATTACCAGGGGGAAGCCTCGAGTCCAAAATTGTGTCAAAATTCAGTCAAAATTTTTCAAAGTTTTTCTGAAAAACACTTTTCTCCACGTTTCATGCTACCTTGTTCATTATAAGCCGAAAATATTTTTTCGGTCAAAATTTTTCAAATTTTTTCTGAAAACCGCTTTTCTCCACGTTTCATGCTACCCTGTTCATTATTTGCCGAAAATATTTTTCGGTTTTTCGAAGTCCACACCTTCCCCTCGATACACAATTTTGGACTCGAGGTAATGCGATCTCGGAAGGCAGGCCTCCCCTTTGCAACACGAACTCGGAATCGGGAGCTCTCGATACGTATCGAAAATGACTCGGACCGAACATTTTCTAAGTCAACATTTTTCAAAATTTTTCAAAGTTTTTCTAAAAACCACTTTTCTCCATGTTTTATGATACCCTGTTCATTATTGGCCGAAAATATCTTTTTAAAAAATAATTTTTCTCGAAATTCTAAATTTTTCAGGTTTTCAATGGCATAAAATGGCATAAAATGGCATAAAATGGAGACTATTTCTATGGAGAAAATGGAAAAACCTATGAGTAATTCTCCATTTTCTCCATTTATGCCATTGGCCCCCCCCCACTATAAATTATAGATTGCATTAAGGAAATGAAATATACCAAAAGTACAAAATGAACGCACCGTATCAGCGGAAGTACACTTCCCAGGAAGGTGGAGGGAGTGGAGGAGGTTGATGAGGTGTCTTTGTAGCTGAGTACTTGTGGACTGTAGCTGAATACTCACTGCCACATCTTCATCATGCTGTCGGGGAGTGGGTGTCAGTTAACTATACTTATAAAAGTTACTTTGAGAACTCAGGTGTTCAGCTTTTAGTTAAAACTGTTATCTTGGTCCTGATTTTACACAATATTAACGGTTTCACTGTAAATGTATGCAAATAGTGTTTGCCAAATGATGAACCCTAACTTAAGCTAACTAATATTATAACTTAAACAGCTAAGACATTAAATATTTATTAGAGCGGCAGTAGTAAATCATCAATATATTAACAAGAAGTGTTAATAATAATATAGTTAAATTGGTCTGGACCAGGTCATGTTGGTGAGCTCTGAGCCAGGCAAGAAGTGACGTCACAACACACAGATCCTGATAGTCCTGCTTACTCCGCTCTTCTCCGGGATTGCTCTTCACTATACTCGATATCAGCTCCGAGTGGACACACACCAAGTGGGATGCCTGGTTCAGTGGTGTCAAATGGAATCAAAAAATCGTAAATCTAAGAAAATCTATCATAAATGAGTTTGATCTGAGTATACTTCAAGCAACAAATAATGTTTAGGTTGATGTTTGCTGACCTCTCGATTTGCGACCACATGTTTACTGCCCAGTGACGTAAGCAATGACGTCAGTAAGGTGAAGACTGGCTGAACCAGGAGGTGTTGCTTATATAGTTCAGAAGAGACTGGGAGTTGGTGTAGGATTGTCAGTTCGGATAGTCGGGGGATTATTCCCGCTTCTAGCAGGGTTGTCGCGCCTGCCTCGGTCTGTGCTATCTGAGCTAAAAACGCCTGAAAATATCGGTCAAATTCTGAATAGTATTTCAACTTGCAGGTAAAGTCGAGAGATTCCAACGGAGGGAATGCTTGCGGAGGGAATGCTTGAACTTTGTGATTTTTGTAGACATCGGAAAATCAAAATCTGTTTGAGTGAAATATCTGCGATAAGTGGGTTACGAACCAATTTAGCTTCGTAGATGAACAGGGGTTTAATGTTGTCAGAGTTGAGTCCCATGAGTAAGTTCTGATTATCAGTGTTGATTGACTCAATGAAATGTTTCAGATAACCCTTGCTATTCAGATGTTTTAGCCAGTTCTGGTACGTATCCGCTCCAAGGATTATCGAGAGCAAGGAAAACGCCAAAATCTGCAGAAAGATCGGTCAGCAATTTTCCTAAAAATAATTAATATAAGGCCGAATAATACTTAAAACAATGAGCGAATATTGATTCATAATACCAAAACATTTATCAAACTTTTTAAATACCTTGGTAACACCATGACCCTTGGAAGCGTCCTTACAGAGTGACTCAATGAAGATGTCCCCATAAGAGCACAAAACAGCCAGACTATCACTGTCCACGATCTGGTAACCCTGAGCTATAGCTCCGCCCAGCTTAACATCGTTAGTATCGTTACTAACAGACATCTTGAGACAATGAAGTAGCGCGGCGTAGAGATGTGCACGTGCTTGCTGCATGTTACCACCGCACTGTATTATCGCTTCTACCAAGTTACGTGTCATGGTTTGGAGAAGACCTGGGGGTAGGGGGTCTGCTCCTTCTCTGAAATGAGGGTGGTAAATACTTAATATGGAGTGGATAAAGGTAACCCAGATTCATCTTGACTCGTCTAAATTTCACGTTTTTGTGTCATGATAGAATAGAAAACGAAAAAGTTCAGTGTATATGAAATCACTATGGTATTAACAACCTAGCAACTTACAGGACAATGTCAGTGTTAGGAATCTGAGAAGTATATCTGAGCTGCTGAATGAGCAGAACCACACAACCACTAGCAGAGGACAGTAGTCCAGACAGGGGCTGTCCATCACGTGACTTAGCCAGGATAGCCTGGGTCAGCTCCACCAGCAGAGTCTGCCGTGAGGGCACCAGCTCATTGTTGCAGCCTACTATCATTACTTCCACTACCTGCCGCCACGCGTCAAACGCTTTACGCTTCAAACTTATCTTACGGCGGATAGTGTTTCGTTCAACTGTGTTGTTCAGGATAGCCTTGATCTCCTGGAATATGGAATGTGATTGTGGTGCATTCCATACTGTGCATTTATCAGTTGCTCAGTTTACACTCGCTCCTATCAGCATCCTCAGATCAACAAAACGCATAGCAGTTAAATAACATCAAACTTACCTCGTTGATCTCATTCCTTTGAGCGATAGGAATGTTGTTGTTAGAAACCATGTTGAGCTCACTCTGAAGGGTCTTGTGAAGAGTCACCACGTTCACCAGAGACAAGCCTCCCTCCTTGTAGTGATGCTGCTTTATCAGCATCTCCAGTTTCTCAGTGTCGAAGTAGTTCAGTTCCAAGGGCACGAACGTTCCCACGTCCATCTTACAGACTGACTCAAGAAGGGAGAGAAGTTTTCTTGAGCCTTCCAGAGCATGAAATGGGCCTTGAATTGTACTGAAAATAATTTGAAATCTTATAGAGGGTATTAGGAAACATACAAAAAGCGTGGGTTAGTAAAGGGTGGGTTAGTTAAGGGTGGGTTATTTGACTATTGATATAAAACATAATTAACCAGAATGAGGTGTAAACATTCAATTTAAAACACGAACCTGTTAGGACCAGCAAGACCAAGCAGTAACCTCTGAAGATAACTAGTGAGGTTAGCTCTGGAGGTAACAAGTAGCTCCAGAGCCAGAAGTTGGAGGAACTCAGTCTGGTGCTCCAGTCGGGATGAGTCTGTACTCCAGGGGTGGATCTCTAGAAACTTGCCGAAGAAGTCGTACGTTGAGCGGAGATATCTTAACACTGCAGCACCTGGAATATGGACATTGCAATGTTTGGTATTACTTCAGATACCAAGTTTGTGATTAAAATTGGCCTCATTTTGGACGTACTTTAGGATGGCATCATGTATTCTCTCGACCCCATATAGCATCTTTCACGGTGCAAAGTTATGTAATTTATTACAATATACTCAGAGAGTTCCAGAAGAAGCTTATAAAAGCTGACACGTGACCAGTTACCTACCAGTGTGTCTGTTGGTGGAGAGTTTGAGGAGCAGCTGATAACAGAGGTGAGAAAGAACAGGTGTGTCGTACAAAGAGTTGGGTGGGAGCTCTTTAAAGAGCAGATCTATCACACTGTGAAGACACGTTCTCTTGCATCCCTGAATACCTGGACAAGTATCCTGTGTTATCTTATAGAGTCTGTTGTAAGAGATATAAAAGATGGAATGTTATTACAACCTTTCAGAGGAACTGGTAGTAAAGAAAACTATCTATAATTTTATAGACATAAGTAAGTCAGTAAGTCAGTAAGTCAGTAAGTCGGTAAGTAAGTAAGTCAGTAAGTCAGTAAGTAAGTAAGTAAGTAAGTAAGTCAGTAAGTCAGTAAGTCAGTAAGTCAGTAAGTCAGTAAGTCAGTAGTCAGTAAGTCAGTAAGTCAGTAAGTCAGTAAGTCAGTAAGTCAGTAAGTCAGTAAGTCAGTAAGTAAGTCAGTAAGTCAGTAAGTCAGTAAGTCAGTAAGTCAGTAACCTGGTTCCTGGAGTACTGTTTTGTTAAGGGGTCTGGTAATATCGAATCCCAGTAGATAGTATCCTATGTTAGGAGGGGCAAAGTCTAAGAGACTTATCAACAGGTTCAGGATCTTCTGCCGGATTGCGTTGTGTTCTCCTGACGATCCCGCTGAAAAGAGCACCCAGTAAAATTAGATTGTTAGAAAATTGTGGAGATAAATTGGTTAAATCGAAAATCGAATCAACTTATAATTCAACAGGATAAACTCCATCGATGTCACGGTACAACTTACAGGCCGTTTCGGGTTCGTCAGTCTCGAGCCGTTCCACCAGACTTTGCATCAGTTCCTCAGCAACAGCACTCTTCTGAGTAAGTATTATAGAGACCGGGCTCAGGGTGCCAGGTTTGCTGCAAACTGCTACCAGCAACTTCAAACAACCGTGTACTATATCTTGGTCTGTGTTTAACGGTATCATAAACCTGATATAATATGGATGTTTTTGTAAATAATTCGAGACCCTTGAATTAATCTACATGGTATTTGAGGTTATTTCATGGATCGAAGTATGTGATTATCTTTCATATGAAAATTCGAACTAATTATTGGTTACCAACATACGAATGTCATCATAAACTCCAAGTTTTCAAAACTAACTTGGCAATATGAAGAATAAAGTCAGAGTTTCTAGTGGAAGGATTAATGGTGAGAAGTAGCTGCTGAAGTGGGGTGACGATGGTGGTAGCACTGGACTCCCTCAACAAACTCAACATTTCCTCCTGCATTTCCAGGGTTAGAGCTAGGAGCTTCACAGCGCTCTTAGCTGCAGACAGATGACCTCCTTTCAGTCGCTCTCCTTTTGAGAGGACTTTGGATGCTGATTCTACTACTGTCATTATCTGCGAGAAGTAGATTTAGATTTCAGAATCTTTGTTAGGATGGTGTCGCTTTCAGTTCATCAAGAAAATACAAGTAAGTTCGATAAAAAAGGATCTTTATTGTCGGCAGAAAATTTTAAACAATAATCATAATGATATTTTAAAGAAACCTTGATAAGAAGTGGAGTGTCGTTGAGAAGCTGAGTGAGAAGATGATAAGCAGGAGAGTTGACAGTCTCCTCCAAATCTTGCTCATTTACTTGGAACTGGTCCAGAAACACGTGGAATATGCCCATACATTCCGCTGCCACCTCCCACTGAAATAGAATTTGGTATTAGCAGCCAGATAATCACAAAAAACCTTGCTCACTATTGGGTTAGTTTGGGCATATTCTTGTAACTCCAAGTTGAACGAAAGTGTCCAATGACACTTTATAGTATGTCCAGTCCATATTGTACAATGTACATGTGTGTACAATGCATGAACAATGAAGGTTAGGGAACGGTACTATAAATAATCCAGATTCCAGTAGTATCAAGATTTGATTAAATGACATGTTCCTTATTTCAGATATTCGACTTTTGCAATGTCGGCTAGTACGGCGAGTAAAGCAAGACAGTTCTTTTTTTTGTGAAACTTGATTTCGAGATAGCAGTTGATCAAAAAACTAAGACCAGTGACCGAACTTTTGAGGGGGTCCCGGACCCCAACCGCCAAACGGTGCCCGCGGGGCAGCCACGCCCATATTTGGTCCAAATTAGGCCGAATTTAGCCAAATACCCTGAACATGCCCCATACCCATATTTTATGTGCTCTTCTTGTAGCTAGTGGTCACCTGAACTCGTATATGAAATTTCATTAAGATTGGACAAAAAATGACTGAGTTATGAGCAAAAAACCATATGCCCATATTTGGTCATACGCACCAAATTTGGTAGATTTCGTCCCATAAATTAGGCAAATATCAATATTTTTGAATGAAACTTACTTTATATGAAAGGTAAGCCTAAACTACGTATTCTCTGTAAGTTATAGCTTTATATCTGTTTAAATGTGGATACTAAGGCGAAAAAACCATAAAAAATGAACTAAATTGCCCGTATCTTGGTTCGCGATATTCGCGGAATTGATCTCATTAAAATTGTAACAACTCAATCAGTTTTCAAAATTTTTGCATGAAATTTTCGGAATCGACTCGAAATCGCATTTCCACCTTATTTTAAATACGGATTTTTTTTGAGGTCTTTCATATACGAGTTCAGGTGACCACTAGCTACAAGAAGAGCACATAAAATATGGGTATGGGGCATGTTCAGGCTATTTGGCTAAATTCGGCCTAATTTGGACCAAATATGGGCGTGGCTGCCCCGCGGGCACCGTTTGACGGTTGGGGTCCGGGACCCCCTCAAAAGTTCGGTCACTGGTCTTAGTTTGTTGGTCAACTGCTATCTCGAAATCAAGTTTCACAAAAAAATACCCATTGCCCCCCCCCCCCCCCTCCCCCTTAAGCATTTGGAGCTATGAACATTTTTTGCGTTTTTGCTTGGCCACATTAAAATCTACAATATTTGAAGACATTGAAAATTGTGTGTTACAAAATTTTAGAAATGACTATTTTAAAGTGGCTTAATCCGACAACCCGCAAGTTAAACATGGCCAGCTGGCACCATCTGTCGTAGTTATCACAAGTTATTATATGTGCCTTGCAGAATAGAGGGAACCATGTCCTGAGAAAATGTGTGAGTGCGGACAACTTAAATGTTCGCACAGACAGCACAGGAATTGAAGATATGATTGCCGCAGGCAAATTTTATTGACGATTTTGCCCACGCAGAAGACCTAAAGCAATTTGGCAATAGAGATCATTTTCAAACACAGTTTCAAGAACGATTCAAAGAAATGTTCATTTTTTCCTTTTTTATTTTCCAACAATTTTTGATTGTTTTTTAGAAAATTCCTCTTCACCCCAGAAAAATTCGTGTCACAATTTTTCAAAATTCAGATCGTAGACTTTTTAAATCCCCTCTTTGGCACCAAAAATTTCCTCCGAAATCCAACATTTCCTCGCAGATTATCTGCTGATCTGCTATGTTTCTGTATGTGAGTTTATCAACCTCGCAAGCCATACAATGAACAAGTACTTGTCTACACTGCTTACACTTGCAAGTGTAGGCAGACTCACAACGATCAACAACCTCATCAAGAAACATAAAAATGTTACCTTCAGAGACTATGTTTAATAGTATCTAGTAAATAATAGATGCAGTTATACATTTTACCCTACGATATACAAACGATCTGCTTAGAAACTAAGAAGCCAGATCTTGACGTGGTCGAAATTCTTTACTTCTTTAAGAGTTTAAACCACAGCTTACACGATTAGTTGAATGTTATTAACTTTTACACTAATACTTTCAACTTTTATATCGCAACCATTTACAATTGTTGCTCACGTGAGCCCTTCCTCGTTAGCTTTGCAATATTATCCACCTTTCCATAGTCAAACAGAAAGTCCTTACGTCGCATGGGAGAAACGGCTATAGAGAAGCTGATAGTATAGTCAAGAGGACGTCAAATTGTGTGAATAGACTTATTGTTGAGATATCTATTGGGACTAGTTCAGATTTATTTTAAAGTTTGATCATATTCCATTATAGCAAGATATTGGATAGTGGATAGCATATACTATAGACTTGATAAAATAGACAGTCTCGCTACTTTCCTACAGACCTTCTAAAGTAATAGTTAATATTAAGGTATAAACTGTTATACAATATACACCCATACCAAGACGTTGAGTGTATCATTGCATACGTGCAGTAATGATTTATTGTTTGAATCAATCACCCTTAGTTTTGAAAACTTTCTACTCGTTTTGACTTGGTTTCTATCCAATTGGTATTTGCTCAACCCCTCGAAATTCATCGCCAAATATCTTTGAATTTTTGCTTTTACCGGAAATCTTTTACCGAAATTTTACCAGAAATCTTTTAGTCGAGAGGCAACATGTAAGTGCGGTAATATTTTGTAAATAGTGCGATTCTGCAACTGCCTAAACACTTAAACTTTTTTTGTGCGGCAAATGTTGAGGAAAAAACACCGCAGTTTAGCTTGACAATACTCCTAGGTGGGGGGGGGGGGGGTTAACGTATTTTTTTGTTTTTTTCAAAAATTTACTTTTACCTCCTTAACAAAAAAAAAATTCATTTTGAGCTATTTCGATTTTGAGCTATATTTTTATCATTTTATTGGTTTTTTCCTTTTTTCCCCCTTTTTTCCCTTTTTGTTAAAAAAAACAAACTACTTTTACCTTAACAAAAAAACAAAAAATGTTATCCCCCCCCCCCCCTAGGTTGTATTATTCGACAGCGTAGCAAATAAGGGTATTGTCTCTCACTGAGAGTAAGATTCCTGACAATTCAAGATGTATAAATCTATAGAATTATAGAACCCATAGAAAGTTTTACAATCAGATGACCAGGATGATCGAGGCAGAGCATTAATTATTATAACTTTACAATATAATATTCCAATACATTGTGTGGTTATGTGTATACAAATAATTAAAGAAATATAAGTTTCTTTTCTGTCTGTGACCTAAAGTGACTAAAGTGACTCAATTTCAATCTATTGAGGGATTGCGATCGAGCTTGACAAGTTATTCATTTACTTACTTTGTAAGTCCGTCAATGCATCATCAACTTGCTATCTAATAATAATAACAATGAACCTTCTGTATATCCTTTTCCTGATTTTTATAAGTACGTCTAATTTCTACTTTTTTCTACCGATTTTTTTTGATGTTACGTCATGAAAAACGTTTGATCCTAACCATAGGTACGGGCATATCGATCTTATCTCATTACACATAGCGATACCAAGTAAACAAATCTGATAGAACGGATAATGGCCGATGGTGCAAAAAAAGTGCGGTGATAGGTCAATAGTGTGATTCGGCACCTACCGCACTTATATGATGTCTTATAACGAAATAACGAATAATTCAAATTATCAGTAACAAATTAACAGGTGATGGCACGAGTTCCGCTTGTGATAGGATTTGTAACTCTAGTAACCCTACTGTGCCATATCACCATGGTGACGGCAGAACTCCCGGCAGAACAACTCCCGGCAGAACAACTTCCATCAGAACAACTCCCGGCAGAACAACTTCCGGCAGAAAAACTCCCGGCAGAACAACTTCCGGCAGAACAACTCCCGGCAGAACAACTCCCGGCAGAACAACTCCCGGCAGAACAACTCCCGGCAGAACAACTCACGGCTGAACAACTCCCGGCCGAACAACTTCCGTCAGAACAACTTCCGGCAGAACAACTCCCGGCAGAACAACTCCCGTCAGAACAACTCCCGGCAGAACAACTCCCGGCTGAACAACTTCCGTCAGTACAACTCCCGGCAGAACAACTCCCGGCAGAACAACTTCCGGCAGAACAACTCCCGGCAGAACAACTCCCGGCAGAACAACTCCCGGCAGAACAACTCCCGGCAGAAGAAATTCCGGCAGAACAACTCCCAGAACAACCACTACCAGAACCAGAATGCAGTGTTGGGGACAAGCGCCAGGAAGGATGTAATACTTGCAAGTGCACAGCAAAGGGTACAGATTTAGCAGTCTTTACTGGAAACAGATTTAATCGTTTTAATTTATTTTACCGCTTAAACTGTTTGTTTGGCCATAAAGGTAGAAGGCTTTTAACTGGCTTCTAATTTTCAGGAAGTTGGACCTGCACTCGTAGGAGGAAAAATTGCTGTATATACTCCAAAGGAACTGGAAAGACAACTTCTGTTCGCATTGGACGATCCTTCAGTGACGGATGCAACAGATGCCAATGCACAAAATCTGAAGATAACTTAGGGCCCTGGCCATGTACCCGTATGATGTGCTCAGGCTGTCTTTACAAGAACTGGGATAAAGCAACAGGCTGGGCCAAGCCGAGGTCTGAAGTTCAGGTTTTTGATGATAAAGGTGATAACGGTAAGGGGTGTAACAAGATTTGTACGTGTAAACGTATGGGATTTTACGATGCAGTTGATTGCGAATCAGAGGCCTGTGTCGTTGCTTAAAGCAGAATCTGAGTAACTTCTGATGCATGATTAGCTGATTTTTGGCAAAATATTTTCTTCGGATTAAAGATCTTTAGAACCTGAAAAAATGTTCATATTGACGCATGTAAAATTGTCATAAATAGTAGTAAATAACGAAATTGAGTTCAGTTATCAGAAGAGTGAGTTTGATTTATTGTACTCAATATGAATTTAGTAATGGAAGTTTATTATACACCTGCAAATCAACAAAATGTAAACGTAAGTGTGTGATAATAATAGTAATAGTGATTGTTCAATTATTTGCATTCTACCACTTGGGAATAATCCCAGACCCTAATGGACAACGTAACTCGTAAGGGTTGGGAATTGGGATGAGGGTGGCCGCAAGGGTTCGGGATAATATGGTGGAATTTTTATTTAGCTTTCTGCTTGAGATCAGTTTTAGGTTTGCTGTAGAGGCTAGAGTGAGATTTGGTAGTATGTACAACAATCTGCTGTGGCGGCAATTCAAGTACAAAGACGCGCAACAGTGCGCGTTTACGAAATGCTTGCCCATCTATTTAAAGTCGTATGGCGGCGGCGACCGCTCACTCGTGAAAACTACTGAGAGTGCCACATTTTGAAGATGGGCTATGAAGTTATATTATATTAAGTGATATGAACCAGGGTAAGTTTTCGTACAGATTACAGGCTTGCGTTAATAAACGTTTCCTGATGCTATGTTACCATATGCCAAAGATGGGCGTATTGGATTGCCCAGATAAAAATGTACACTGTACTAAACATTATGTTTATTTAAAGCCATCTTACAAAATAGCATATTTAGAATATTTACATGCGAGAATTTTAACTATGTTTTAACTATTTTAACGAGAATCTTAATTATGTTGAAAAACGAGAATTTACCGAGGAGAGCTATATCAAATTTGTTTATCGGATAATATAATCGTTATGTACATGAAATCATATTCTCCGTAAATCCTAATCTATACAGTCTTAATTACAATGTTAATAAGACCTCAAGGCCTATACAACTGATTGACATAAACTGAAGAAGCCTAGCAGTTAGCACTGTTTTGAGGCTACGTCTCACGTATTAAGCGAACACAAGACTATTAAAAGGTTGTACCCCGTATCAGTCAATTGTAGTCATTTGTATTAAAACTATTTTATTTGTCTGTTTATTAGCGTAATCTGTTTCTTAGCATTGTCTCTTTATTAGCTAAGTGAGTAAGCTAACAAAGAAAGTCTACGGGAGAGTGAAAATATTGTTAAACACAAAATGACAAATCTGTTACGGGGGACTAGCTCAAATGGTAGAGCGCTCGCTTAGCATGTGAGAGGTACCGGGATCAATGCCCGGGTTCTCCAGTAATTCTTTTTAAAATAAGAAGCAGGATTTTGCACAAGATAGTAATAAAATGTGTTTAAGCCAACGACCCTAATGTCTATAAAAAGTATAGTCGTAATTGGTGTGCCTGCAAAATATCATAATCTAACAACTAGCTGAAATCTACCATAGAATTTGAGTTGAAGAAGGAGCAGGAACATTGTTTTCGTAATTTCTTATTAATGATTCGTTTCACGTGATTGGGTCAATTAGTTGATGATATTACTAATATTTTATTGCTAATGGATGTGATGTTTCGAGAAGCAAGTTTCATCGAAACAAATTTATCCTAGGCGACAAAAGAAGATCTGGAGAACCCGGGCATTGATCCCGGTACCTCTCACATGCTAAGCGAGCGCTCTACCATTTGAGCTAGTCCCCCGATACATAAAATGTTTTCTAAATGTATAAATTCTAATAATCTTACCATTTCATTATTATCGCTGTACGCTCTGATATCGAACTTCAAGAAAACAGACTCCTTGACAAAGTTGAGATAAGGAATGAGGCCAGGTTGTCTGTACCCTACACCCAGTGATCCAGGGATAGTAGTGGACAGCAGTCCTTTCAGTAGGTTTAGGAATCCTCTGGTTTCCGGGTAGGTCTCGCTTCTTGATTCTATTTCTTCTAATTCTGACTGAAACATAAACGGCAGTTTAGTATTTGGTTCGACAATATTTGGTTCAGGAAATTTGGATATGCATATTGCGCCCTCTCCCCTATGGTAAGAAATTTCTATGATTTTGTTCGGATATAAATGTACTTTTTTAATGTTTTTATAACAATATATTTGGGATTTGAATAATAATATTTAACCTATTAACTGACCAAAAGAAGGGCAACATGTTAAAGGTTCGAACATTTAACATCAAGTAACATAACATAAGACGATGATAAGTAACATAACATAAGACAATGATTAATTGCAATATAAGTATCGAATTCGGATTTTTAGTAGACGTATAATTGTCACGATGCTGCTTCTAATGTCACACATTTCAGTAACTGAGTCCATCGATCTGAGTACATTAATCTGAGTCCATCAATCTGAGTCCATCAATCTGAGTACATCAATATTAGTTCATCAATCTCAGTACTGTGATCTCAACTCAGAACTGCAGGAAAACTAGGCATACGATTGGAGGTTGGTTCATTCTGAGCTGTTGAAGAAGTTAACATGCGGACTGTAATAACCACTCTTCCCTTTGCAGATCCCCATAGCTTTAACAGGAACTCTTTGTAGCTCTTAACCGAGACAAGGTAAATAATGGGGTTAGCAGAGAAGTTGAGGTAGCACATGTAGAGCGCAAAGCGGTAGTAGTGGAACCTGACACTGTACAGCGAAGCAACCCGGGGGAAGAAGGTTCTGATGACGAAGAAGACTCCGTAGGGAAGGTAAGAAGTGAAGTAGCAGAGTGAGATGAGGAGAAGAGTGATGACACTCTGCTTCTGAAGACCCTGAACCCTCCTCACATACTGGAGCAACCAGATGATAGCTATCAGAACCACTAACATAGGCAGCAGGATGAAGAACACCACAGCCAGGAACGGGAATATCTTCGCTAACTTTCCTGTACCTGTGAAATGCCCCTCACATCTGAAGTAGGTCAGCCTGAAGCTCTCAGTCCTGTCTATCAGCTGGGTGGGAATAATGTGGAATATGGGCATTACACACCACATAGCCAGTGCTATGATACGACCAGTTCGTGTGGACCTATGTCTGGCCTGGAGCGGGAACAGAAGACAGTGAAGCTTGCTGACGTTGAATGCACAAATCAGGTAAATCTCTGAAACCCCGAAAAAGAGGTGCATGTAGTTGGTGACAGTGCAGAGGATATCACCAAGAACCCATTTGTTCTCAATAACTGATATCAGTACTGTTATGACGTACAGTGAGAATCCTATGTCAGCAAATGCGATGTTTTGAATCAATACTATTGAGATGTTATCAAGTTTTATAGCGTTGTATTTTATTGAGGACACTAGAACCATTGAGTTGCCTAACACGGGGAGTGTTATGGAGACGACACACCATAAGCCGATGAAGAACCGCTCAACGTCACTGGATGAAACATTGTGCCAGTCAATTGCAGATGTTCCGTTCAGAAGTGACATTTCCTATTAAATAAACCGTTGCTTAATGGCTGCTTAATTTCAATTTTTTAATACTATTCTACTGTAAATACAGAAGAACATTTTTTGTGTTCTTTGTGATAAAATATTGAATCAGAAATAGTGAACACGTATCGCTATTTAAAATGTTTTGGATATTCATTAACAAGTAAGAATGGCAAAAGGGGAGAAGAGAAATTACCTTTCAAAAGTAGGAACGCTCGGTACGCTAGCGTACCGGGAACTGATGATTTTGATTTACCGCCCGGAAAGTTTTGAGAAATCGGAGTTTTCAGGGAAAATTTCGATAATAATTTGTTGGTTAAAGATCCTCGATAGAGGCTTGCTTCCCAGTGGGAAAAGAGAAAGCTTTCCTGTGCAAAGGCACGAAACTTCCCGATTGGAATGGAAGAAGCTTCCTGGTTGGAATAGAGAAAGCTTTCCTGTGGGAAGTTAGGATGTTTCCCACTATTTTGTGGCAGGAGTTTAATATATATGCAATATTTACAATCTCATTATTTAAATCGTTCTTGAAACTGTGTTAGACCATTTTATTGTAACATACACGATGGCACAGGGTTGTATAGTATATTATAAAACAGTTCAACAAGCTCAATGTTGTTTCTAGTACACCAGTTTTCAGCTACTCAACGTACAACTCCAGCGATACCCATGTCCCATAACTTTTACACTGCAACGTAGGATGCAGATATCGGATATCCCATTCCGTCTTTCTTACGTTTCGTTTATTGGTTTGATCACTACGTATAAAACCTCCGATCTAATGAAGGCCACGGTTGGAATGAAGCTTGTTTTTCTGGTTTTTCAGCTGCTTCTCTTTACGGTAAGCCATCTTTACGTTGACCGTGAGATCTTCTTACTTCTTTGTTTCAATCAAATTCAAAAATAATAATATTTTACCTACCATTACCCACTCATTACCCACACAGGAGCACATATACTGCAGTGGACAGGGGGAAGTACAGTTGTTTTCGTTCAATGATACGTATAACTGTGGTAACGGGGACGTATGTGATTTTTACTTCAAGAACGTCGTAATCAAGGAACGAGATGGAGAGGTATTCCTCAATGTAGCAGAAACAGGCTCTACTAAAGATAAAGAGAAGGTATTCTTCTCAAACGTGGAGCAGCTTGATGAAGTTACGACAGTAAGCCTCCGCACTGGTAGCGGAATAACAATATCACTTGAAGTATGGGATGAAGACGGTGACAACGATAAATATATAAGAAGCAGGAATTTAGTGGTACCATTCTACTTGAAAGAATCGAGTGAAGATTGGTCCTGGCGTTCCTATACAATTACAGCGGACAATGGGAAATCGGTTATTAATATAAAATATAGAATTTTGAGCTGTGATCACCTATTTACCGGATTAGGTTGTGACTCCTGCGTAGATAACTACTACGGAATAGACTGTAGTAAATACTGCAAACCTAAAACCGGTTATTACGAGTGCGGATCATCAGGAGAGAAGGTTTGTGAAGAAAGGATAACAGGAGATGACTGTGATACCTGCATCACAGGCTTCACAGGAGAGGGTTGTCAGTCTTGTTCTGATAACTACTACCCTGCTGAAACTTGTGCTGTGCACTGTCCCCCTAACCCTGGGAAATACACCTGCTCGGAACTAGGAGAGAAAGATTGTCTAGGAAACTGGACAGGTATCAACTGCATAACCTGTGCGAATAACTACTATGGACCTGACTGTTCTACATTCTGCAACAAGTCTGTTAACTACGAGTGTGATGAATCAGGAAATAAAGTCTGTAAGGAAAACTACTATCCAGAACAAAAATGTGACACTAACTGTGAGCCACAACCAGGAAGCTACACTTGTAACCAAACAACAGGAAAGAAAATATGCGAGGAGGGGAAAACCGGAGAATATTGTGAGTTTTCAAATACTAAACAGGCAATCTTCCAATTTCTTAAGATGAATTAGGTGCTTCTTAACACTAATATATAATAACTGTGGGGCATTATAAATTTTCAATGGAATAGGGGATAAAAGCTTGCCAAATAAATAGCAGCGAACAATCAATTGTAATGTTTCAGGTAACGCTGCCCAACATCTTGGAGTCTGGATAAGTTCAAGTTTGGCAGCTGTGTTCTTTTTAATATCGATTTTAACTGCATTTTATGTTCTTCACTTACGTAAAAAGCTGGAAAATGTATCTACTGTTAATTTGGTCTACGTAAATACTGCAGTTCCTAACCCAGCTGAAAAAATCCCCACTACCGGGCCAAAGGACGACGATGTTGCTTTCCAAGTAATTTCTGAAGATGCTGCTCACACCTACAGCTCTATTGATGGACCATCACCAGACATTGCAAGTGATCATATCTATAACGATTAAAGGACCCAAGGTTTAGCAGAGTCGGGAGTTAGAATATAAACTGATTTACGAATATTACTGCTGTTAAATCTTATGTTTAGAGTTGCAAATTTCTGATAATTCCGTATATATGCGACCAAGGGAAACTTCTCAGGTTTAAAAATTGTCAACGTTTTAAATTTTCAATGTAACTACATCATATTCAAGTTCTTAAAAGATTTTATTATTATCAATTAGTGTTTCGATTATATTTTAGATTTAATACCTTTTTTATTTGATTCTTGATCAACAATCAACAGATATGAGACGAGTGCATATTTTATTTTATGTTTCAAGACCATGATGTTTAGTATTTTCATTTGATAATATGTGGATAACCGACGTGAGTTTGTAAGTTGTAAGTTACGAATGTTGTTTATAAACAGCATTAATAATGAAAACCACTCGTCATTTATCTATTCAATAATATTTATATTATTGAATAGATAAATGACGAGTGGTTTTCATTATTAATGCTGCAAGTTGTGTATTGTCATTCAAACATTTATGATTAAATTCTTCAGCGTATTATTTTGCACAGTTGCACCCAAATAAACCAACAACAACAAAAATTTGATTTTTTTCAAAATGAAATAAATTTTGACATGGAAGAATGTAATCCAGCGGGAATATAATCAGCAGAAAAAACAAAAGCTTTATAAAGCATCAGTTACATGTACGGGGTCAAGACTAGGGCAGTCAATGACCTATGAATGAATTTTCTACACTAAAGATTGGGATATCAAATTGTTCATCGCAATTAATACGTTCGGTGCCTTATCGATGGTGTATCTAATCAAATGTTGGCAAATCGAAAAGCTCATATTGAGCCGAATAATCGAGCAGTGGATGAATAGATGCTGTCATCGAATTGGATATGCTGAGTTTGTTAACTAATATGCAAAAGTAAAATAATCCAAAGCCGGGAAATCTTTGAGAAATCAATATTTTTTTGAGAATTCATTTTTTTGACAAGATTTCGACAATTGGTAGAAGATCCTCGATAGAGAGGCTTGCTTTCGAGTGGGAAAATAGAAAGCTTCCCTGTGGAAAGGCAAGAAGTTTCCCGATGGCAAGGGAAGAAGCTTCCCTCTATTTGGTGGCAAGAGTTTAATTTTCACTAGATTCCTATGTACATAGTACAACGAAACTTGTCACTTGACTAGGTGTCTCTCATTGCAAGATTTTAATCCTGAAAGCAAATTTCACAACATTTTTTCGAGGGCCTACAAAGCTACAATACACATCCTCTTATTCGAACCACACTTATTTCACTATTTTTGTGGCCGGCCCTAATATCTTAATATATAATGCATTTACAATCTCATTATTTGAACCGATCTTGAAACTGAGTTAGACCATTTTATTGTAACATTCTCATTACACGATGGTACAGGGTCGTATAGTATATTACAATACAGTCCAACAAGCTCAATATTAATGTTATTTCTAGTACAACAGCTGTTGTCAGCTACTCAACGTACAACTCCAACGATACCCATGTCCCGTAACATAAACACTGCGACGTAGGATGCAGATATCCCATTCCGTCTTTCTTACGTTTCGTTTATTGGTTTGATCACTACATACTATAAAACCACCGATCAAATGAGGGTCATGGTTGGAGTAAAGCTTGTTTTTCTGGTTTTTCAGCTGCTTCTGTTCACGGTAAGTCGTCTTTACGTTGAGCGTGAGACATTTTACTTCTTCGTTTAATTCAGTTCTCAGAGGTAAGGCATTCAAAAATAATAAAATTTCGTTAGTACGTACAATGCCAATTTAAGAAAACTTCTTTCGAGTACATTTCTAAACCTTCACTAACTGGATAAAAACAGTTGCATTATACGACAAGACACCATTACCCATACATTACCTACCATTACCCACACATTACCTACCATTACCCACACATTACCCACTCATTACCCACATAGGAGCACATATACTGCAGTGGACAGGGGGAGGTACAGTTGTATTCGTACAGTGATACGTATAACTGTGGTAGCGGGGACGTATGTGATTTTTACTTCAAGAACGTCGTCATCAGGGAACGAGATGGAGAGGTATTCCTCAATGTAGCAGAAACAGGCTCTACTAAAAATAAAGAGAAAGTATTGTTCTCAAACGTGAATCAGCTTGATGAAGCTACGACAGTAAACTTCCGCACTGATAAGGACATAACAATATCATTTGAAGTATGGGATGAAGACGGTTACAACGATAAATATATAAGAAGCAGGACGATTGCAAAGGTACCATTCTACTTGAGAAAATCGGGTGAAGATTCCTCCAAGTGGTACTGGCGTTCCTATACAATTACACCTGACAACGGGAAATCGATTATTACTTTAAAATATAGAATTTTGAGCTGTGATAACCTATTTACCGGTTTAGGTTGTGACTTCTGCGTAGATAACTACTACGGAACAGACTGTAGTAAATACTGCAAACCTAAAACCGGTTATTACAAGTGCGGATCATCAGGAGAGAAAGATTGTGAAGAAAGGATAACAGGAGATGACTGTGATACCTGCATCACAGGCTTCACAGGAGAGGGTTGTCAGTCTTGTTCTGATAATTACTACCCTGCTGAAACTTGTGATGTGCACTGTCCCCCTAACCCTGACAAATACACCTGCTCGGAACTAGGAGAGAAAGATTGTCTAGTAAACTGGACAGGTCTCAACTGCACAACTGTGCGAATAACTACTATGGACCTGACTGTTCTACATTCTGCAACAAGTCTGTTAACTACACGTGTAATGAATCAGGAAAGAAAGCCTGTAAGGGAAACTACTATCCAGAACATAAATGTACCACTAACTGTGAGCCACAACCAGGAAGCTACACTTGTAACCAAACAACAGGAAAGAAAATATGCGAGGAGAGGATAACAGGAGATGACTGTGATAAGTGCATAGAATACTACCACGGAGAGGGTTGTAAAGTTTATTGCAAGCCAGATATCGAGTACAATTGCTCAGAAAATGGCACGAAATTATGTTTCGACAGCACAACCAGTGATAAAAACAACTGTAGGAAACCAGATAAAAACATTTCTTTGATAGGAGCCACAATGGGTGGGGTAGGGCTGTTGCTGATAATGCTGGCGATTGTCATCATTCTTAGAGTGAGGAAATACAGAAATAAAAATGTCGCAGATGAGATAAGAGGAGAAACTGATAACAATGAAATGAACCAATACCAGGAAGCAACTTATCCCACAGTGAATGAGCAAGCAGCTCAGTCCTCGGACACCACAGAAGATAACACAGAAGGTCTTTATAGCCGGATAAACAGAGAGGAGCTAGGAAACAGAAAACAACAGATACAACCCCAGATTCAACCTGACCAAAACCAAGACAACACTGAAGATAACACAGAAGGTCTTTATAGCCGGATAAACCGACAGGAGCTAGGAAACAGAAAACAACAGATACAGCCCCAGATTCAACCTGACCAAAACCAAGACAACACAGAAGATAACACAGAAGGTCTTTATAACCGGATAAACAGACAGGAGCAAGGAAACAGAAAACAACAGATACAGCCCCAGATTCAACCTGACCAAAACCAAGACAACACTGAAGATAACACAGAAGGTCTTTATAGCCGGATAAACCGACAGGAGCTAGGAAACAGAAAACAACAGATACAGCCCCAGATTCAACCTGACCAAAACCAAGACAACACAGAAGATAACACAGAAGGTCTATATAACCGGATAAACAGACAGGAGCAAGGAAACAGAAAACAACAGATACAGCCCCAGATTCAACCTGACCAAAACCAATACGATCTTTACTCGACAATCCAATCGCAGCCAGTTTACGCAACTGTAGATAAGCAGGACAGACATGGAGGACAATGTAGCGAAACCTACAGTCCTGAAACTGAGGAAGAACCAACATACGCTGATATAACGTTTGTAGGGAACAGGAGAGGAGATGATGTGGTGACGTACAGGAACACAGCTCCAGGTGGAGATAGTGGTGAAACAGGGCAGGAGGAGGCGACCTATATCACAATCACCCAGTTGGAAGAGGACAGACTATAAGTGAAGCGAAGCTCTATAAATATTGTCAGTTAATGTTGATATAATATACATGACTACGTGAGCGCCAGTATAGTTTGGATTTCGAGCTGGAGACATTAATTAATGTCTGTACTATTTTATTCCTTTTTTGTGTTGAGTGCCACCATGATTGTGGCAGTATGTTTAAACTGAAACGATTGTTCTGATGCCTAGTCTAAGCTGTTTGTGACTGATGATTTGAAGACGTGTTATATCTGATACTTAAAAAGGATTGTTACAGCTTTTAATTATTACCTATTTGTTGGATGTGTCGTAAATATTTAACATAAAGAATATTGGTCTACGTGATAGTGTGATGTCCTATTATTTCGTATTAATTATTGACTTAACATACTTAAAATTCTTCACAATTTGAACTATGCTCAAGACTTGTGAAAATTACGATTACGGTTATTTTGTTGACAATTATTTACGGTTGTAATTCAAAAGTATTAATTTTTACTTCTTATTATATTACTGTTGTAAATCTCGATCTTGAGTTTGATATTTGTTATGAACTACAATTTCTCTAAAAGATCTGATAGCCAATAAGTTAGAGGTACTGAGTGTGTGGGTTTAGGGGAAGGCCCTAATATATAAATTATGTACATTTACAATCTCATTATTTGTTGAAACTGTGTTTGAAAATGATCTCTATATTTCAAAATATGTGTGAGCAAAATCGTCAAACGTTTTTTGTTTATGTTGTCTGCACACAAAATGTTTCTCGGGGCATGACATGGTTCTACTCTGCACAATGCACATGTAATAATTTACGCGGATAACTACAAACTACGATAAAATGGTGCCGGCTGGCTGCGTTTTACTTGTGGGTTGTCGAACAACGCCACGTTAAAGTAGTCATTTCTCCAATTTTGTAACGCACGATTGGAGGGCTTTCGAAATTTTGTTATTTCAATGCAAGGCCAAGCAAAAAAGTAAAAAAGTTTCTGGGGCACAGCTACAAATGCCCAAGAACTGGCTTGCTTCAGTCTTCACTCGCTACGCTAGCCCTGGCAAGTATTAAGAGTGAAGCGAGCCCGATCTAGCAGGCTACTGGTGGGAAATTTTGTGCAGGAGTACCGGGGGAAGAAAAATGCTTTTGAAAGGTAAGCAACAGAACAGAAACGAATATTTTAAAGATGGTCTTAAACTGCGTCGTTTAAATAGGAGTTACGCATCAAAGAGTTTTTTCTTAATAAAAATGACACTACAAAAAATTTAAATTAAGATAAGAAGTGTACTTTCATTTTAAAGGGGTAAATTACGTGATGGAGCAACATATCTTAAATATATCTGCATGACAAAATCAACCTCAGAAGCCTCACGTGAACTGACCCAAGTTGGCAGTGTCATTGAGATTAGCTCATCTGAGATTGAATATCTATAGCTAAATCACGACTAAGTCTAATGAAAATTGGTAATTGTAGCCCTAATTCGTCAAGAATTGTTTTACAAAATTTACTTGAGTGAGCCTGATCGGTGATCGAGCTAAATTAAAAATTTCTGCTGACAAATTGAAATAGTTCGGGTTTAAATTGGACGTGATAAATTGTGGAATTTGTCACCATCGTAAAAGCTTCCCAGTTCAATCATCCCAGACTCATCATGTAAATATGAGTCCACCACCACACGTATCATCATGTCTGATTATATCAGAGGGTTAAAATCTGAACACTCCTAAATATGACAAGAGAAGATAAGGATGAAGAGATAAGGATGAGGAGATAAGGATGATGAGATAAGGATGAGGAGATAAGGATGAGGAGATAAGGATGAGGAGATAAGGATGCGACGAACCTGGATTCCAAGTTTAGTGGTGTTTGTTTGAACTGTAGGCAGTATCTGTGTAGCCTCTAACTGTTGCCATAACGACAAACACAATTCCGGTGTCTCAGTCAGTACAGCAATGCAGTCCAATATGGAGCCTGAAATTATTGTTATAAGTTGCTGAATAAATAGGAATAAAGCAATGAACCTTGGACACCTGAGCAAAGCTACATTTTGGCAGTTTAAATTTTAAACATATCCTCATTACATTCGAGTATATTAGCTGTCCAAACCTTTGAGTTGTGGTACGACAGGGCAGGAGAGAAGACCGAAGAGAGTGGACACAATATGCCACTGACTGTTTTCAGCCATGGTAGTTCTCAAGTCCTCGTCCAGAGCGAGGATGTGTTTTGTAAGGGAGAGTACAGATTGTAGTGCGTCCAGTTCCTCAGGTGTTATTGTAGGGACTGACACGTTCTGTTCTAACTTTACACCTGGGTCATGAGACAGATTACTGTTATACAGCTCTTTGGGGGATAGTTGAGAAATAATAAGATTCTAGATGAGAAATGCCAGATTTTTAGTTTCAAATAAAACCACTGCTTTATTAAGCAGTGAGGACAGATTTAAGTAAATCCTCACCCTCTAATTATAAAAACTGACCTTCTAATTGCTCGTGAATGTGCCACAAGTACTGCTCGAGGGACCCAAAGAAGTGATCCCACGTGACCAGAGAGTTACCACTCCCATAAGCACTGTCCGAGCGCAGGAGGTTGTAGCAGTGACGAGCAGACTGAGTGGTGTTGCTGATAGCGCACAGGAATTTCAGGTATTGGACAAAGAGATGTGGGGTTACTTGTTCTGCACCCACCTTCACAAACTTGAACAATCCACTCTGAAGAGAAGCAGTGAATTAAGGGAGGGATGTCTCCTCTATCCAGAACAGTGGATTAGATTATTGAGTGATAAGTCAATAATATGGATTAACAAAGTTCATAGTATAGGGTAAATTATCTATGATAATAGTTCATAATACTCGTGTAAATTTACAAGTTACCAACTTGAAAACTATAATTATAGAGGAACCTGTTTGCTAAAGTTGTTGTTATCTTTGTTAGAGGGAGAACCAGGAGAGTCTGGATACCAGAACATGTCACACAGTCCACTACTCTCACCCTTATACAACACCGCCATCAACTCCAACAACTTCTCGTACTCACTGGGCAGGTGCAACTTTCAAAGTTTTGTCCTTATTAAGTCTTGAGATTTAAGTGGGCGTACTTCTATTTTTTCTAAAATATATGCCAGGTATGTGTTTAAATTATTTTAATATTATAATCCAAACCTTTTTAAGTTAGAGTCAAGCTGCTGTTTAGAATCAGCCTGAATCTCGCCTATTCTCAGAGGCAGGTAGTAGATCATATTGGTTATCAGGGTGTGTATTCGGGCCACGTAATATTCCTGTAGAGAGTTCATAAGACAAGATAAGAGGATAAGCTATAGCAAATTGCTACTGAAATATCTTACGATGTGCCATATCTCAAAAAACTCAAAAACCGACAACAATATCCCATTAAGAACCTCTTGGAAGAAAGCAGTAGATTTGAGGAGCATGCCCGTCAGGAACTCAACACCTCCATGTTTAAAGGTCCAGTCCAGCAACATCTCCTCCTCCTGAAGGAGCTTGTCAAGATGTTGAGCAGAATGGGTTGTGGAGCACACGTTCACACTTACTGCCCAAACCAGGTGCAGTGCTGCTAGCAGTCCCTCACTTGACTTGGTAGATGATACTTCTGTTAGCTCCTGAAGATAGGGAGTCAGCGTCTCCAGATTTGAACATTGGTTTTTTAATCAAATATTCGTAATTTTTAATGATTTTTCCACTGACTTCAATACTTGTATAACCATGTTGTAGTTATTGACCACTAGTATCTAAGACTATCCAGCAAGCCTGAATCATGAACTACAAAGTAACCTGGTTGAAGTTTTTAGTAAAAGTGCTGTCCGTCATGAGAGAAGTTGCGTTATCAGCTAGTGGTTCCAGGTCGATGTTGTACAATATGGTCATGAAGAGAGCTGCGGTGTCTGCTTCTAGTGTGCCTTCCTTGCTCGTGTTACAATGCTTCTTCACGTGACACAACACCTGTGTATATATAAGTAGGTATAGAATCAGTCTTGCATTGACCTAGATTGAACTAGGTATTGGTATAAAATATCCCATGCATATTATATATTATGGGTGTCTTCAACACAAAGAGACAAATGGTGACATAATTCCTCGAGTCTTCAAATACCAGGTATTCGGGTATCTGGCAGATCACATACCTTCAAACAGTCGTTAGCAGGAAGAGGGTTCTGACAGGACCAAACAAAGATAACTTCTGACAAAGTAGCCCTGAAATCAGTGATAGCTTCACGTAACATCAACCTGTGTGTCACGTCACCCACTGCGTGACCTTGTTCTAACTTTTCCAGCTCTGTTGTCACATCTAATGGAAATAATTCAGGTGATATTGACTATTGAGGATATACGGATCTAATTCCTCTCTAGGTTGTATTCGTGGGTATAACTACAAAAAGTGCCTGGAAAATTTTGAAACTATAGATAGTTTCAGCTCATATTATCATGAATTAAAACATGACAAAGTGCGACAAGTGTAACTAGGGACGAATTGCTAAAGATTACCGAATTAAGGTATATCATGCAATAATGTCTACTTTATGATCATGTTATGATAATCTATAATCTACATACCAGTGGTGACGAGAATATCTAATATTTTCTGAACGAGACCCTCGTTCATGAGGTTGGAGGTGAAGCCAGTCACCATATCGACCACGTTGTGCTGCAGCCCGAATGTCCAAGTCTTTCCTTCCCTCATCTGCACCAACGTCTTCAAACAAGTCGCCATACTGAATAAAACAACCGTTATTAAACAGTAGTTACCTTGACCTTCTTTTTAAATGTACATTCCAGGTTATAATGTAAATAAATTAAACATGTTAGGTTTAATGAGTAATTAAAAGAAAATCCTATATAATCCTAAATTAGCTGCACAGTATAAATCTATAAAGAAGATATAAAGATATAAGAGACGCATACCTTCTTTTGCCATCGTAGAAAAGGAGAACAGCAAGTAATCCTCTAGTGAGAGTAGGGAACCTAGGGAGGTGCTCCTCTCCTGCTAATAGCAGGTCAACACACACCAACTCGTTCAACTTCAATACATCACTCAGTAATACCACCTGGGAACAAACGTTACCAGAAATTGTGGTTATAACTTAGGCACTGGGTAAAACTCGACAATTCAACAGTTTAAATTACTAGTCTTATTATGCTATGAAGTGTTTTTGAAGAAGTTACCTCTTGGGTAAATAGTTTGGGGAGTGTTCTAGGTGTGGTGTTACCAGGCAGAAGTATACCCTCTGTTACTGACTTGAGCACTGTCTGTCTGTCTCTCACATCTCGCTCCTGATATAATTTTAAATCAATTATCAATAATAGAATTTAATAAAGAATGAAATACGGTAGTCGAATAATAAAAGTACTTTTAGACGATATTATAAAAGGTAAGAGTTCAATTATAATCTCTTAATTACAAAGTACTTAATATTAAACATCAATCATATAACTTACAGGACTAGCAAACAAAGCATTGAAATCTGGTTTGTGTTTCTTGAGCAGGAGATGAAGTTGATCAGGAACAGCGGTTTTATTTCTGATGATGTTGTTCACTGTCAGAATTAGCTCTGATTGTGATCCCCATAATCCAGGGAACAAAAATGAGGTCATTGGCTGAGCTAAATTGACAGATAATGATGATTAATTGTTGTACAAAATTCTTTCAAATATCATACAGAAGATGATTTAGAGAATAATATCGCATTCGAAAAAAACCAATAAAATAAAACAGCTAAAGTCAAAAGAATCTTGATAAAATCAGATATCCTCATTGAAAACAAGGACAATAAATTTTTTAACAAGGTCATTCCAATCAAGAAGTAAGGAATCTGGCATTCGGAGAACTTTGATTTGTGCCATTGAACAAGTTAAAATCTGTAAACCTTTCTGGTATTCCTTCTGCTGGAAGCACTCAAAAGCTTTGTTGTATTCTTCCTCTAATATTTTTACATGTTCCAAGGTATTACCAACTCCAGATGAACATTTACTACATTTGACATCAGGTGAGGAAACATAGACAGTTGTAGAGCACGTCTCACAGACTAACACTCTCATATGATCATTTCTTTTCCAGTCATTAATACATGCTGCACAGCGACAATCAAAGTCATATTGAGATTTCAGATGTTCTTGACGAAAATTTTTGGTAACAGACTCAAAGTCAACACCATAACTATTAAACAATTCAGATCCTAACGCAACATTTTGATTTGTTTTTACAGTTGCAGCAGTGCCATTAAATAAACACACTGTATTAGTATAACAAGAGTGGTTCATTTTAGCAATAGCAGGGTAAATTCCTGAACCAATAGCCACATTTGAACAGGCATCTCTATCATAATACATAACTGTACTTGCATTCATCATCATTTGGCAAGTAATTGCTGACAATGTTCTAGAAATCAAATCAGATGTTACTTTTAAAAATGATGATTATTAAATAGCTTGTCAAAAACGGTTTGAAGAATGTCAAGGTTGCTTTTAAAGAATTTCTGTCTTGCTTTTGAGGAGCAAAACAGGGATGTTATCTCTAATTCAGACTCACTGAGGCTACAGGGATGGACTTCACAATTTTGTTCATAGATGTTGAAAACTTCACCAAGCTTGTCATTGATGTGGAATTTAAAAAGAATGCTGGTTCCAAGATGAAACAACCCAATTTCTTTCATAAATTCAATTTCTGAACATTCATGGTTTTGATGCACAATGTTTACTTTGAAACAAGAGGCTGAACAGAATTGCACTTCAGAACAACCGTTGCAAGGCACAACAATTGAGTCTTCTATATATTTGAAACAAGTGTAGCAATGTGATACCCAAAAAGGACTACCAAGTACAGCAGTAAAAGGTTTAACATGAAACATTGTCTCATTAGGCTTAAGATTGGCTGACGTCAACACAGAGTTTCCAACGGTTGTTGAATTCTCAGTTGTTAAGGCACTATAAATAAACGGCCCTTTACTCAACCCAATATCAGTTGACGCAGACTCTTTTGCGACGCTTACCAATGTGAGTTGTCCATCACAACTCTGCAATCGATTATTCAGCTTCTCAATATATTTTTTCTCAGATTCAAATAATCCCGAAAAAGTTTCAACAGCATATATGAACTCTATGATATCCTTAGATTGCTTGAACTGCTTAGTTTCGAACAACAATGCCGACTTATTTCCCATGGCATAGAAATAATGGGGATCACCAAACTGACATAACCGAATACTCTCATTGTACAGCTTTAGAGCCACTTCAAATTGCTTCCTCGTATATTGTTTGTTGCCTTCCTGACGACATCTGAGAGCTTCTTTATCACATTTTACCATCTTAGGTGTTTATCAATTCCAACTAGAGCCAGTAATGGCAGAACTGCAAACCATTCGATTCAAAATTTGTGCCTTAAGGCTAAAATTGGATATCATAATACATTCAATTAAAAATCAAGTGATGCAATTGGCAGAGCACAATACACAGATAACGGAAATTTTCTACTGCTACCAATATTATATGAAATATCAACAACCAAACATATACACATCTACTCCATCAATAATAATAATAATTCAAGAAAACAACAAATTCAAGAAAACAACAAATTTTTATTTAAATCAATTATAAATCAAGAGGCTTGCATATAATGAACATATTGACACGGGTGCAGAGTTGAGTCTGTACAGAACCTAGTAGTTTCAGATCCTTGTTTAACTTGCCGTACAGCAAGGTCATCCACTACTTTAGCCCGGCGAGGCACATAACTCCCTCTACAACTCCATATCAAATGTTTCATATATACTAGCCAAGTTCACAAGATATATCCTTGTGTTTGAGAAGAGCTCGTTAGAACTGCTTCCTTTCCCTTCAGTATCCCACAGTTTCTCGAGTTTCGTAACTGCCAGAGAACTCTCTTAAACAATTACTGGACTCGGTGATTATAAATCAAGAGGCTTGCATATAATGAACATATTGACACGGGTGCAGAGTTGAGTCTGTACGGAACCTAGTAGTTTCAGATCCTTGTTTAACTTGCCGTACAGCAAGGTCATCCACTACTTATAGCAACAATTTGAAAAACTTTAAAGTTCTTCTATTACCATGGAATATACTACGGGTATGGTGACTTGGGCTATTGAGTTGTTAAGTAGATTAAGATTAGTAAACCTGCACTTGCGTTGTATTTATAAAAACTAGAAATTAGGCTTCACGGTAAAATTCTATACAGTTACATAATTTAAACAATTATGGCCCCTTATTGTGGGCATAATCTACTCCATCATAGGGGCAGGGATGAGGTTGTAAGAGACTTCTGATAGAGGAGTCTATCAGAAGTCCATTTGTTAGCCTCTGTAGCCTCGTAGTGCAAAAAGCGTTCATAATTAAGATTAATTGTGTTACAGAATACAGCAATAAAGACTTAATTGTGATCAACTAGGATCACAAATATTGATAACACAAGACAAAACTATTGACACAGAACGGCCATTGCTTTATGGATATTGTTCAACTCTACAGTTTTTTTTAAAGCAATGACCCTATATAAAAATAATTGTAATTATAAAAATTCTGTAAAAATGGTACAAATTTAAAAACTGAGGTAAAATAAAACCCTTTGTAATAATATATGTAAAATCCACTAAATCACATCACAACAAAAAGCAGTTTAGACCACCATCCAACAAGCACTCCATGACCTTTTAGGGTTTAAGAGTGTTGATCAGGTTAAGGTCCAAATCACTTATTGCCGTGGGTGGAAGGGTTCTGGTACCTCTGTACCCCCTGATAGAGATTATACAGGTTCTGAGTAGATCAAAACGCAGTCTGCGTCTGACAAATGACATCACATCACAATACCGTTGGCCTTTCTTTAGGCTGATCTTTTCAGCTCTAAAGTTTTTTCTACAGTTTTTTCTTTCAAAATGGCAAACCTACATTGGGGAAATCATAGTGCCAGGTGCCCCCTTAATTCTTAAATACCGCCAAATCGCTATAATATCTGGATACTTCTTCTAGCGCTTGATTCTAATTCATAAGTTGTGAGTTTGTGCAGGCAAATGCGCAGCAGAAATCATTATGTAAAGACACTCCATTCGTTTTACTTTCATCATTGTTCAACCGTGACGAGCCTTATAAAAAAGCCTTAACGGGTGATACTCGTAAAATATCTGTTCCATATATTAGGACCGTCGACGAGTCCAACTCGGCGCGCGTCCTGGTAGGTTGTAAACCTACAAAAAAGCCCTATAAAAATCGAAATAGATTAAAATATTTTAAAACTTTCCTCCTGTAATAAAATTTTTAAAACCCTTGAAAGATAATTCGATGCTCTGGTAGCAGTAGCAGTAGCTTTTGCTATTTAATTTTGTTAAGCAAAAAGTACTATTTTATGCACAGCCCAGATTACAGTATCCATGATTTTAATGGGTGATACTCGTAAAAATACGTAAAATATCTGTTCTATATATTGGACTGTCGACGAGTCCAACTCGGCGCGCGTCCTGGTAGGTTGTAAACCTTACTGGGCAGCGCTTTGTCATACGTTGTATGACCCGCCGCGCACGAGTGCGCGGCTCCCCCTGTATCGTCGAAACTCTACAGGGGTTCACTATAGTGAAGCGACCGTGGGGATCACCACGTGATACAAGCGGCGCTCAGCCTGTCATTCCGCGTGTACGTGTGAGACAAAGAAATATAAAAGTCGCTGGCACACATTGCAACCGGCTTGTCAAATTTATTATTGAGTGCTCACAAAATAAATCGTAGCATGGCAAAATGGCAAAATGCATTTTTATTTGGGCAGCACCACGTTTGACGTTTCAAAATGTCGGTTTCAGAACCACACAAAATCGTACAAAAGCTTTGCGCGCAAAAAGGTTACAACGTGTATAATAAAATATTCTCTGAAAAAATTTGTTTTGATATTATGTGCGTAATTTGGAAAATTTATTTTTTGCTGGGATTAATATACATTTTCAAAAAATATTTATACCGGCGTTACCAGTTACTATGCGTAACAAAAATTTAAATGGTCATGGTGGCAGGTTGAACATCTTACATTTTAATTGTATATTTAATCCGGGCTCCTATAATGAAACAAATTCAATATGGATATTATTTATTATATCGATAAATTGGGCACTAAGAAGTTTACGTGCGTAGAATTTGTATCATGTGGTGACCCTTAACGGGTGATACTCGTAAAATATCTGTTCCATACAGGACCGCCGACGAGTCCAACTCGGCGCGCGTCCTGGTAGGTTGTAAACCTACAAGGTGACCCCCACTGTTGCTTCACTTTGTATCACGTGGTGACCCCCACTGTCGGCGGCGCGCGCATCGCGCGCAAAAAGTGGCATGCAACGTATGTCAAATACAGGGGGAGCCGCGCACTCGTGCGCGGCGGGTCATACAACGTGTGACAACGTACAATTTAACAAGGAATCACTTTATTTAAAATCACTTACGAATATTTTTACAAATGCTCATCACGCTATTGAGTCTTCAATGAAAATACAGGCATCTCAATTTAACAAAAAACATAACACCCATCAGTTGAAATACTTACTGAAATACTTATTCGGAATAATTATTATGAATTAGGAGTTTGATAACGTTATTGTGTATTACAATTAGTGCAATTTTTGCAGTGTACATCAAGCTGATTCATAGAGTGTGCCTTGACAAATTGTCAAAAGGGTTGCTTAGACCTTGTAAAGTCTATGAGTACACAGCTGCAGTTAACGAAATACGAATTATCAAAGCTACAACTACACCGATTGTAGTTTTTTAGAAGTAGGTTTCACCTACTCCCTGTCAATTCTAACGATTTCGGTTTAAGAGATATGATTCTGCATGAAACATTTGAGAACATATTTTTTGGTGTAAGGATGTCCCATTCACATCCTGCGGCAAATGTTACCACTAGCACATAAGCACTCAACAAAAGAGATGTGATAAAGATGAGAAATCTATCAAGATGGACGATAGTTTGCTGGAAAACGAATACGGGTCTTTTATACAATTATTGTAATTGTTACAATTGGAGCACCAAAAGAAGCTGCACTAAAGTAAGAAAGTGCGGAAAATTGCTTAAAAGAGATAAGAACCAAACTCCGCTCCCATGCAATGGCATTTGTTTTTAAAAAGATTAGATTAAGAATAATGACATAGACATCATCACTGTCATTATTCAACATAATTTGTTAGGACACTTTTATATTATTATTAACAATCCAATTTAAGATGACAGTTAATAGTTAGTTTTATTTAAATTACATTAGAAGCTATTGCAGATATGATGTAATACAAATATTATTATTAAATCTAAAAAATCTAATAATTTATAGCTAACAATAAAAATGATTTGATTAATTATAAAAATAATCATGTTTAGAAAGCAACTGCATTTCTCATTAATTTGAGCTGATTAAAGATTAGGAGCCCTCAACTGTATGCTTAGTTATTAATGTTATGATTCATGCACATATTTGGCATATTCATAATAAATTTTTGTAGAAATATTTACGATTACGTGTTATGATATTTTTGTCATTATTATTTGATTCGATATCCTGATAATAATTGACATAAGTATAATGGAAAATTCTAATTCTTTACAACTTGTAAGTAGTAATTTAGGAAGATAATGCTATAATATACAAGTAAATTGTATTTGAAGGGTTCACTTTGATTTTGTGGTCCTATAGTAAAATGCACTGGCCAGTATTTGAGTGGAAGTTTAGGCTCTTATTGTAGGCTGTACATTTCGTTCACAGAAAGATTCATATGGATTGCTCTTGCTATGGAAGTAAGTTTGTTAGGGTCTAAAGTTTTATTGGAGATTACGCAAGCTAGGTCAATAATATTCAATTTGTACCTCACTCTGGAATAGAGTAAACAGTCTACCAGGACATGACTTAATAGGCTTAAGTGCTTTACTAAAGAAACAGTAGGTACACTACATATCTTCACATGGAACAAAGTAGAGTTTGTATCACCCTGTTCGTTGTGGCAGCGGGTGGCAGCTGACAAAAAACATTAAGAAAGACAAACCTTTTTTTTTTAAATTCTTGTTTATAGGTAAGGATACCTCATAACAACCTTCTGAAATTTTGTCACAGCTGCGTCTCTTTGTGTGTTGTTTGTTTCTGGCAGGATGTTCATATTGAATTTTTTCCCTACTCTTGCCGAAGGCAAAAAGATCATAGGGAATAAGTAATCGGGTTTGGATATATGAGGTGGCCCAATAGACCTACGTTGTTGACAAAAGTCTGCTCCTTCGCAATATAGACCACTCCCCTATAATTAAGTGCATAGGAAGCGTATGTTATGCTGCGCGCGACGCTAGCCATGTGTTAATTAATGACAGTGAAATTCCTCCTTCGCTAAGTTATTTTCCGCAATTTTCTGGATTTATTAAATGTGATGCGCAACGCTGCATTGGTGAAATAAATCGTCAATTTTTACCATGCACAAATCCTACTCATTTATTTAAAAAACATTGCATATTATGTAAATATGTTGTACTTTTTTCCAGTCACACTTTTCACTCAAAAGAATTGATGGTACAACTACAAGTAAATCGTAGGGAAAATTGATCGTGCGTGGTTTAACCGTGGCAAAATTCTTGTTAAGATGAAATTTTGACGCACCTTCACACAGTCAATAAATGTTTGAATATTTACTATGAAGTGTTTCAGCTACATGGTTATTTGTCCCCATTTCCCCTACCAAAATTTTAGAATTTATCCCCATCAGTCTATGTGTTATTTATAATTCAATCTTTTATTGTTGTAGCTTTAACCACATCACTAACAAGACATGATCATCAACAGAGTTTATGTTCGGGCAATCAGATGACATGAGTCCTTAGATTCTGCCATGTCCACTTCAAAAACACAAGGTAGCAAATGGGCTGGTGAGGCATCAACAAATGTCTTCTACTTTGTAAGTTTATCTTTACATTTGAAATCAATGTTTATAGAATATTTCTTTTGAAATTTATATTACTCTTTCTTCGGTATCAGATGCCCCGCCAAATAATAACCTTAATTTGATCAGAGTTAGCAGCTGTGTCTGCAAGAGAAATAAATTTCCATTGTACCATCACCCAATAATTGCCTGAAAATGTCACTTGTTCTCGTTCTAAGATCTATCCTCTAAGTTCTCCTGGTTGACAAATAATAACGTTTCAGGCAAGTTTGAAGGAGATAAAGTGGAAAGTGTTTGAGAGCCCCAATATCTCCCTATCTATAGAGCCAAATCACCCTGTCATATCAACCTGTCGTAGACTGTTTCATGCAAACAGACTTGTTACGTGGCATCTTGGGAGAAACGGTTTGCAGCTCTGGCTCTTTTACTGGCCCACTGATGATCTGGATCTTAAATCAATCAATTTGCTGAAAGGTTTGTAACTTATCAGAGGTTAAAAAACAAATCTGTTGTCAATTGTTATAAATGTATCTGTTTCGTTTATTTCTAAATGTGAGTTTTCTCACATTGTAATGCACCTGTTTAACACAGAACACAGTGTCCCTCGATATCCCTATAAATATTTTCTGCATACTTTAAATTGCAACACTTACAGAAGTTCAGCAAGGTGTGTGGGATAACGGTTTACCGGGGGAATGTCTCTCTCACCTTTACAAAGCAGTACACCAACACTTCGAACGGTACGATTTACAGTTTACACTCATGATAAGAGTATATTCTGTGCAGTTTTTATCTTACCATAATTCTGTTCTCATGTCAATGAACACGGCTCTGAAACCAGAACTTGATAATTTTGATTTATGGAGTATGAAATGCGATAATTATTCCAGACTGAGATAAACAAATTTCAGTGCCTTTTTCAAGACGGGATACGCTAGAGTTGGGAAGTATTTTGTGAAGGCTGATGGGACATATCAGCGGTCCTTCCAAATTGGATTTTTCATACACGGCGGTCATCACCTGTGTTCCAGCATTGAGTTGAAAGACAAATTGCAAGTTCATTACCTGAAGAAAAGCAATCTCGATAACGTTCAGAAATTGAAAGGTAAGCTGACGCAGAAACTGTAATCACGTCAATTTATGAAGTATGTACGTCATACTTACATACTTGAAGGTTGAATTGCCCGCATCTAATCATTATTTTACGTTCCAAATGTGTACCATATAATGGTGATTTGTTATCTGTCTCCTTATAAGTACCGTACTTAGGTTCTATAGAAGTAGAGTTTATTATTTCCTAATGTTCCCTTAAAAGCATTTATTTAGAAACCGAAACTTGTCCATAGAACCTTGAGCAGGTGCTAGAATTTAGAAACATAACTGCTGTAAATTTAAATGAACATCTGTAGACGGTAATTTTTATGGAGCACCTTATTTGTCCATTAAATCAGGTGCTGCTGGTTGGTGCAACCTCGGTGTATGAATTGTGATAGTTCTAACTATTATAAATTGAATACCCTGTTCTAATAGAATTAAGCTCAACAACGTCAACAAGGTCACTTACTAGTCAAATTGATACATTACTTACACTTACAGTAGCGTAAATTCCAAAATTTTGGTTTAAATGGTGCATCTGTAGCCCATAGACCTTCAACTCAGCTCCTTCACTTAATATTCGAGACTTTTCGTGATCTTGCAGCTAAGCGACTTTGTCTAGGTCTCATTAACAACTCTTCCCTTGCAGTGGTGTTGATGCCGATAGGCATAGAGTGCAGTTTGACGGGCCACTGGCTGAGTCACATGACCTCAATGGATACCCTGACTGAACTTGAGGATGTGTTTCCAGCATACCAGATCGACAGGAATGATCCCAACAATTGCCACAAGATGTTCCTAGTTGAGACTGAGATAAGTGGTCACACCATGTTGTACCCTGCCTCTCATGTTCTCATCGTCAACGACGTCCTACCTCCTAAATCGTGAGTTTTTATCTCTTATTTTGGTTCAATTTTTGACAAGCTGTTTAGATGAGTCTTACTGAAGTTGTTAAAAATAAAATCCTGTGTCGTAGATGAATTTGGCCCCAGAGATCGACTGTTGGTGGTTACATGTGGCCATGATAATACTCATAATATAAATTTAGACGAGGTAAGGGTGACATTTAGTTTATTGTACTGTTACAGAGGTTAGTAGATGTATTTAACATGTATAAAATGAAGGACACAGTGAGCCACTCAGCATTGACCACCTGCCGCTGCATACAATAATTAGATCTAGAAATACTCACAGTATTGATACCTTCTGAAGAGGGGAGCTTGTTTCACTTTATTATACAGCAACAAGGCCATGTGACACGTCAGATCACATGACGAGGTGGATCACGTGATCACAGACCAGCTGTACACTGTAACACTTTGAGCAGAACACCAGCGCCGCGAGTCCAGCTTCACTAAACGAAGTGTAATTAGATTTAGTAAGAAGTAAGGGAGGTTTTGAGTTGCAGCAGCGTGAACAGATACCGAACTGCTGGGTGGAAGTACCGTGGTACTCATCAACCAGGGTTCGACTGGAACGCGTCCTTACATCATGACTGCTGTGTATTAGATAACCAGATAATTGCATTTTGCCGCACTATTCTTACCTGGAAGAACATTTAAGTTTAACAGTCAACTAGGTGTGCCTTTTCTGGATATTGAAACATATTCATTGTATTATTCATCGGAATTTTGAAAATATTTAAATGTAAAGTAAGCTGACAATCGCGGTGGAGTTCTGAGCCGTCCTGAATGGTGTAATGAATTTCCCGCCCACTCCTACTGAAGAATATATAACAGCAATTAGGTTGCATTCGATACATTATTGAATTTGGTATTCATGAAATACACTCGCACACTCCCCAGTCGGGAGTGTATCGAATATGTGTACACGTTACTTGTACATTATATATTTCCTTAATTTGTCACGGGGCTGGCAAGGTAACGTGACTAGTTCCTATAAGTAGGTATCCCCGCCGTGCCAGGGAGGGAGGGAGGAGGGAGGGAAGGAGGGAGGGAGGGAGGGAGGGGGAGGGAGGGAGGTAGGAAGGGAGGAAGGGAGGGAGGGAGGGAGGGAGGGAGGGAGGGAGGGAGGGAGGGAGGGAGGGAGGGAGGGAAGGAGGGAGGGAGGGAGGGAGGGAGGGAGGGAGGGAGGGAGGGAGGGAGGGAGGGAGGGAGGGAGGGAGGGAGGGAGGGAGGGAGGGAGGGAGGGAGGGAGGGAGGGAGGGAGGGAGGGAGGGAGGGAGGGAGGGAGGGAGGGAGGGAGGGAGGGAGGGAGGGAGGGAGGGAGGGAGGGAGGGAGGGAGGGAGGGAGGGAGGGAGGGAGGGAGGGAGGGAGGGAGGGAGGGAGGGAGGGAGGGAGGGAGGGAGGGAGGGAGGGAGGGAGGGAGGGAGGGAGGGAGGGAGGGAGGGAGGGAGGGAGGGAGGGAGGGAGGGAGGGAGGGAGGGAGGGAGGGAGGGAGGGAGGGAGGGAGGGAGGGAGGGAGGGAATGCAAATCCTCCTTGATCTAATTTTACAGTAAAGAATTTTTACAAAGCACATCATCAACACGCTAGATCTCAAAACAGTGCTATTATCGGTACTGAGACTCGCTCATTGGGGTTATCGAATTAAGATCAAATTTCACGGTGGGTGTGAAAACTCATGATTATGTATACAGCATGTAGTACTAATATTTAGTGGCCCGTCAGTTGATAAGAGCTGCTAAGGGTAAACATTATCCCCCGGTCCCTGTTTCACAACGTGTATGTGCTGTGATGTGGCCGCCGGTAACTGGCTATCAGTTTACAAATTAATGTTATCCCAATATTAGCCAGACAGGAAACAAACGCCGCACACATGCTAACTTTTAAAGTTGTGTCTTGTCGGTTAAAACTCGATTCTTTCAGGCTTGAAGGAACGTTGAAGACACTGAATGACGAGGTGGGTGGGATTGTGAGCACTGAGGGAGAAGTGACGTCAGCAAGCACAACAGCAGATAACTCTCGTGATCCGGGGAACCAGCAGGCTGTGTGGCGAGAAAACGGATACTGGAACTACGAACCCCCACCTGACAATCTCAAGTGTGCTAAACATGCTACCGGGTATGTTAGTCTAGTGTACACTGTTTTAATCATTAATTAATCATATATTTTGGGGTCGACTACTGTTTTTTTGTTCTGTAGGATGATTGAAATTTACTTTTAGATCTTCTCCAAGGTCTCGTAGCACGGTTGTGGAGTCGAGTGTAAGCATTACAAAGCGGGCCCGAGCCAGTGTTCACAAGAAAAGACTGCAAAGAACCGCATACAAGTCCAACTTAGAACGGAACAAATACAGAGACGATAAAAGTCCTGTCATCAACCTTACAACCACACTCCCTATTAAAACAAACAGAGGTAGGCTTCAATATAATAACCATCATTTTTGAATAGAATTTACTGTGATTATGCGTAATGCGGTCACTATTGGGCTTCTCTTTTCCTGACAGTACTAGTAGAAAATTAGCTCTCATTCATTCCAAAGATTAATTTCTTAACTTAGTTTTACTGACTAACAATAGCCAGTTCTACACATTTTGAAACTGTCCCAAACCCACTTTGAGGAGATCTTTAGTGGGGTATTTGCGTTGTAATCAAATTTTATGGATACTTGAATATTCTAAAGAATGGCTTAGAATTAGATATACTGTGATGCTGTATAACCTTAATGATATATTATCGCTTGATTCTAAAGAAACTGGAATGTTTACCTCGTTACGGTCCTCTAAAGTTCATGAAGGTTGATTCTTGGCCGGGCCGTATCTATTATGTGATCTTATTAAATGCGGAGCGGTTGCATTCTGACAGTGAAATGAATCCTCTGATTATATGATAATTATATGTTTACAGAGTTCTCGATAATTGTGTTACTGTACAAGGCCCAACACCCCTCATTATTATCTTTACCTTTATACAGTTATAGCTGTGAAAGTTGCTGATTCCTATGGCGGCCCTGGCCAGTCACCTGCAAATATAGCTGGACCACAATTGAACCACTTGAGCCACTGGGTCCATCATTTAAAAATGATTAGCCCCAAACACTGCTCCTTAATGCCCGGACACATAATAACCATATAATTACTGCTTCTACTGTCACTTAAATCCTTCCAAGTACCCGCTAATTATACCGTACCCCAATGTATATGCTGGGTTATAGAATGCGTGTAGCTAGCCAGCAAGTACGGCGGTTTGGTCAAAGCGTGCAAGTTTCCGGGAGTGTTGGTGAGAGAGGCTGCCGGCTGCTGACTGCTGGCTGCTGGCTGCCAACTCTAGATAGTTCAGTCAAGCAGGAGCGGAGATAATGTACTCCTGACATGACAACTGTTTGTTGTAATATGATGTATAATATTACACCACCAGTAAGTGACGGAGAGAGAGAGTGAGAGAGAGAGTGGGAGAGAGTGAGTGAGAGAGAGAGAGTGAGTGAGAGAGAGAGTGAGACTCAAGGCAGGTGGTTACTCTGTGACTTGGAACAGTCGGTACAGTACCTCTCTGATGTGGTACAACACACGTATAATAATAATTCCTTTAATAGTTACATATCCCTCTCAGTAATCTCTCGTTCCACTTTAAAATCATGTACACAAAATTACAATGGTATTGTTAAGTTAAAGCTGTTACCGCCACACACGGTGAAAATTATAGTCCTTTCCGGAACACAGAAACTTAACTGAAGGATCACAAGTTTATTGGGTTTCACGCGTGTAAACGAGTTGCTTGTGTGCGAGTTGCTTGAGAGAGCACGTCGATAAAAAATGTGAATAATTTAAAATATGCAAATGCTTCATGGGAATGGGATTCAAAAGATTCAACAGATAATTTAATGTTCATGCTACAGAATTTTCGCTACAGCGTACCTTTACAATATCTTCCCCAACTCCTTGTTTAGGCGGAAGAAGTCTAAAGGGAATGTTTAAACAAGAAGTTAAAACACCGTGTGTGTATTACAGCTGCCTACATGCAGTGTACTGCAACAACTTGCCGATAAGGCAGCTAATTTCTGGGGAATATCCCTGCAAAAGGGAGCGCAATGTTCCATGTACACAGTTACAGAGTTACAGCATGTATTTGTGTCAGAGCGCGACTAATCATGACTTAGATCACTCGTATGAGATACAGGTATAAGCTAGAGTAGGGTTGTGCGCGGATCCGCAGAAGCCAGAGTGAGTTCCTGGCAAGGCGAGTACAAATTGTACACCCAACTAGCTTTGATACAGACTACAAATAGCTACATTGTTGAGAGTCACGTCGTGCATTCCTAACATAGCATATCCCGCAGTGCCCGCTAGTGACACGCCTATGCCTGCTGCCAAGACGACCGAGCCGTTGCCAAGGTTACAGCCGGTCGTCAGGACGGATTTCATGTTGCCCCCAGTGAACATGGTGGAATCGTTTGACTCTCAACCCCTGACTATTGAGTGTGTGGAGAACACGGCCTGCAGAGATGAGGTATGTGTATCTGTTTGTCTATTTGTTTGTCTGTTAGTCTGTTTGCTCGCCAACATTTCAGTTCGAAACTTTACTTACCATTTCCTAATCTAATTCAACGACATGATTTTCATTTTATCTTCTGATATTCTCGTTATAATACCATCTCCCCTCAGTCCAAACATCTAATGGATCAGATCCCCGGGATGCTACTCTCGCAAGGGCTCTACAAACTACCACTCTCCACGGTGCGGCGCCCTCTTCCCACTTCATCCTACAACAGACCGGTAGTGCCAGTACCACTTCACCGGTCTGAGGAGCTCAAACGCGGCCCCGCAGTAGTCACTCCTGCTGCCGCTGCTGAGTCACCCGTCAAGAAACCTAAACTCGAGTTGAAAGTTGAACCTGCGGACGTTTTCGCTGGCTCCAACGTAAGTTTTATATACAGTAATATGTAATTTAAAGTGATTATTTGCCCTATGATAATTGGAGGTTAATTAGAAAGTATGTGGTACTCAACATGGGCCCTCCACCCTGAAGTTAGAACTTATAAGAGTTCACTCCGTACTACTAGGGTGGGTTCCCGCCCAAAATATTAATTAACTGCCAACTGTCCAGCTGGGTTGATATCACTTCACAACTCCAATTATTAACTACGTACTATCACGGGTGAAAATTGTCCATTCTTTGCATACACCTGCAGCTAAACGAAGCCGTAGAAGCGGCCCACTATTATATTGTGTAAGTTAACGTTACTGTTACACATTATCGTGCTCGTTAGCCTTATTCAGAACTTGGTAGAGGTGCAATTAATACACCAAATAAGTAGAGTTGCAATTAATACACCAAATAAGTAGAGTTGCACTTAATACACCAAATAAGTAGAGTTGCACTGTACATTTATTTATAGTACTACGTATTAGGACTACTTACATAAGTAGAGTTATACTTATTACTTATATTAAGTTAATGTAAGTTTAAATACTTGTGATCCTTTCTAGAACTATAGGCTGGATTAGGTAACTCGTTAGGTGACGCGGTCTTTGATCCCAACTAAAACTATAACTAGGGTTTATGTTAATCCGCATTGCCATTATGCTACTACAATTGAACATTATGCTACTACAATTAAACTTATAGGACATGTTCAAACCTGGTTGGTGGTTTTGTTTCACTGCCAAAATGGGCGATTTTCTCATTTTTACAATAACTCCATTAATAATTACTCAATGGTCTTGAAACTTTCAGAGATGATTATAATTGTGATAACAAATAGTCCCAGGTCATCGGCTATGAATAATATTGTAAAATGGCCCAGTTATGTTGAAAAATGTAACATTTGGTTACACTTTTCAATGGCTCAGCCAATTATTAAATTTTAAAGATTCTTGCTTCACAAAAATTTACTTTAGGTATTTGCTTAGCTGTGGAATGAAAAAAGGCCCACTTTTGATTACATAAAAAGGCCCAAACTGGACATTTTGTAACATCTTGTTTTCATGAATCTATCTTTATAGTTTGTTACAACCACAGCTAGTGTAGGATATGTATTTAACTCTCAAACCAGGTTATTAGTGCAGCAATTCTTGTATAAAGGCATTACCACAATCTTGGTATATGGTTTATAATCAATAAAAGGCCCATTTCTTTGAATAACGTAACATGGTTACAAATGAGTATGTTATATACAGAGTTGTTTGATCTAGTATTGGTTTTAAGTTGGTTGATGCATTAAAATAAAGACATGAAACAACTTAACAAATTTTAAAAATGATAATTGGGACCAAATTATTGAATTTTGTAACAATTTAAATGTAATGTAATTTAAATTGACAATCCGCAACAGAAAGCGGTAAATTCAATCAAATGAATATAGTTAATTAAATTAGATTAAAGGTTGGATATTTAAAAACTTTTAATTTATATATCAAATTCTATAGAAAATAGAAATTGGGCCCTATATATTGAAATTTGTAACAATAAAATGCCAGGTCACGAGTTTATCCACTGAAATGGCAGAGTTCCATGTCCATCTATGGACTTACAAAATTCAATGTTTTGGGCCCGAGTACAAAATATGGTCAATAATATGGTTGATGGAACCCTTATGACCTAGGCAAACTGGTCTGAACTTCAAAAACTATAATATAGCTTGCCTAACACCCCTCACACTAGGGTACATACTCTATACATTTACTTTCTAATGTTACGTTATTCAAGTTCCGCAGCCATTTTATCAAATTATACGAATAAGGATTGCTTTACAATTCTGTATGAGAATCTAAAAACCATGTTACCAGTACAAGAATATATTGAACATTCCAGATATGAGCTTTGTAGTCAAAACATAAATATGTTACAAAATTCAATGTTTTGGGCCCAAGTACAAAATTTGGTCAAGAATATGGTTGATGGAATCCTTTGTGACCTGGAAAAACTGGTCTGAACTTCAAAAACTATAATATAGCTTACCTAACACCCCCCACACTAGGGTACATACTCTATACACTAACTTTCTAATGTTACATAATTCAAGTTCCGCAGCCATTTTATCAAATTATATGAATAAGGATTGCTTCAGAATTTTGTATGAGAATCTAAAAACCATGTTACCAATACAAAAATATATTGAATATTCCAGATATGACCTTGGCAGTGAAAACATAAATATGTTACAGAATTCAATGTTTTGGGCCCAAGTACAAAATTTTGTCAAGAATATGGTTGATGGAACCCTTTGTGACCTAGAAAAACTGGTTTGAACTTGAAAAACTATCAAGAAGCTTCTCTAAAAACCCATTGAAAAAGTGTAACATAGAAATGTGTTACAAAATTCAATATCCAGGGCCCCCAACTAAACTGCTATATCTCAGGACCTGAATATGTTACAAAAATTCTGATTCAAGGGTGCCCTCAGTCAAAGGGTCTAGTTTTTGTCAGTAGTTTCAGTTTTTCTTAAATTGTTACAGATTTCAATCTGGGGGCCCAGAAGTAATGAGTGGGAAAAATGAAACAAAACCACCAACCAGGTTTGAACACGTCCTATAGTTATTCTCAGTTAGAGGTATTGTTATAATTCAGGTCATCAGTGCCACCTTTGTCTTGAAATTTAGATCTAAGACGAAATTGAGAGGACACTGTATTTATTTGTAAGTAGGTAGAGGGAAACAATGAGAAGTACTGTATTTACAAGATCATTTGCAATTATCGCCTTAATTAAGCGATTACTTTAAATTTCATAAATTTTGTAAGTAAATTATTAGAGTGCATTTGCGGGTATTTCAAAGTGTATTTTTCAGGCGAGTGTAGTGAAGGTGGAACAGCAAACACCCCTAACACCGACTAACAACACCAACAACACTAACTAACAACACCCGCGACAGAGAGAAGAACTTCACCCACTACTCCGACATCAGGGTCGATCAGATGGACCTGGATGATAAACTGTTCGAGTCTGATACTTCAGACAACAGCGATGATGAAAATGAGGTAAGAGAGGGTGAACATTAGCGCCCCTACTTTAGCGCTCCTACTCCTACTCAAGGAACTGTTATAGTTTGTGTGTTAGTTATGATAAACTGAGTCCCTAGTATTCATTGTTAAATTAATAAAAATTATATAGAAAGCTACTTCAAATCCGGTATTGCTGGTGACCTAAATTCTGCAGAATAACTAACACTTCTATTTTCTACAGAAATGTTTTTAGAAGTATGTTAGTATGAGGTCAAATAACGTATATTATACATCACTCTACCTGCGTTAAAACTTGTTCTTTTTATCGACTAAGATGGTAGCACAATTAAATATCATTCATGTAATATTGCCGGCTGCTCCCGTCTCAAAAAGGCACGATATATGTAGTTATCATTATATGAGCAGCTGGGGGCCTTTGTCTGCTCTCCATAATGAAGCTGTTCATTGTCCCAAATGTGACTCAACAGTAATCACAACTGTAGTCGATATATCATCCAGAGCTACACAACTATACTCGCACCTTAACCGCAAGTATCTCTAATGGGTTAATTGATTAATTGGTCGAGTATCATGACAACTCCAGCTCCTCCACACTGCGAATGAGGTGACAGCTATGTAAGTAAGCAGCGGCTAGAGTTGGTTTAACCTACTAACACCTTACCTGCTCAGTACACACCAAATATGGGATAATTAAATGGGATTTATCGGAGCAGGTGTATGTCGTATAAATTGGAAATCGTGATTCTCACTAGTAGATCGGAGTGTGTTTTATAAAGGAGCTATTTTATATTTTATATATAAATGTACTACAAACGGAGTTGTTGTAAGTGTCACTAGCAGTACTGGAGATATAGAGAACAGTAAATGTAGAGTTGGTGGGAGAGAAGGAGAGAGAGAGAGAGAGAGAGAGAGAGAGAGAGAGAGAGAGAGAGAGAGAGGAGGAGGACTGAATCTCTCTCTCTCTCTCTCTCTCTCTCTCTCTGGCACATCTGGCACACTCCTCTGTTGAGCGCACACTACTAGTAACCAGTGTTACAAACTAATTGCATGGTAAATACTAAACATGTTGTACTTCTCCTCCTTTACGCTTTTACTCGTGTGTAGGGAGATATTATGATATTATGTAGAATATTTCATTTAATGAGCTGAGGAGGAGGAGGATGTTGGGGCATTCTTGAAAATGTTGGAAATCTTTGGAATGTGTCGTGGGTTGCGCGTGTAAAAGAGAAACACTGTGGACCGCAGTTGATATCAGGTATCATATTACGGGTCCTCCTATTAGACACTGTGCTAGCTCTTCTTAATCCCATGTTGCACCGCCACACTCTCACATATAATAATAATCTGGGAGATCTTGTGAATCACTCTCAGTATCACAGAGCTGGAGAATTACAGAGGTCCAGGACCTGCTGTGAAGCAAATTGGATGGGCTTAATTGATTGCTAAGTGATGATATATATTAGGTGTTCAAATATATTGACATACCCAAGAGAGACAGTACCCAATGTGACACATTTAATTAGACAGATTATTCGTACCAGCTGATTTACGTGATCAGGAATGTAGCTGCCTCCTAACATTACACAGACACGTACCAGGGGACATTATTGTGGCAAAAGTTACACTAATCCAAGTCTAATGTGTCCATGTGTGTGTGTGTGTGTGAGTTGTTACATGCGAACGTACATAATAAATTACTGTCAAATATGTAACGTTAGTAGTAGACATAAGGTAGTTTGCCGCTTACTCAGCCACGCTGTACTTTCTAAACTACTTCTCCTACATGTCACGTACACAGGACACTGCATTCCTAGCATTCATTACATGTTACCAAACATGTGCCCTACTACTCTCTGTTTACAATTGTGTGTACGTGTGTTTTATAATGAATTTGGGAAGGAATTTGGCGCCAGTGAGCTCGGAACATGTAGCTAATGATGTTGGGGGAGGAGTACATCAGTCAAACTGCACAGTCAACAGTCTACTAAAAAATGTAGTATCAGCAAGACACGGCAAGACACAGCAATATACATATTGTACTGTGCTGTTTATAATGTTGTTAGGTATTGTCTCTGTTAATGAGCATGTTGTTGATCACCTTGGTTTGAATCTGACTGCCGAATCTGTTGTAAGGTGCTCTCACCGACACTTCACGTCTCGCTGTTTTGTGTAACTTGTCTATTTTAGCTGCTGGCTCTGCCGCATTCTCTAACAATTGCCATGTCTATTTGAGCCCGTACTAATCTGTTAAGTGGCCGATTGCATGCGGAGTTATAATTGCACGTCGGATTAATTGCCAGTTTGCTGATGATAAGTAAATTTAATAAGACCAGTTGCTTAATTTTACTTGGTGATAAATTAGTGTTGATATTAATTATTAGAAGTGTGATGATAATAATTTACATATTATTGATATCGATGAATATTATCCGGTCAAGTGTGAATAGTGAAGACATAATAATAGTATGATTTTGAAACACATTCTAGTTGTCATTAATTTTTCATATTATCGACGGCAGGAATATAAATAGAACCCGCCGAATGATATATAACTTCAGATGTCAGTACGTGCCGCTCACTTATAGTTAGTCGGCTATCCAAGACCAATATTGTGTTCCGCTACATCACAATGTAATGATTGTTTTGTTTAATAGCTTCTTGTTCTATGTTAAAAGTATGAATCTTATAATAACGTATTGTTTCGCAACTATAATCTCTCCAAATGTTGGCAATGACGTAAGCAGGGGTAGGGCTCTAAGCACACCCTTAGTAGAGACCAGCCCATGTAGGACCGTAAAACTACCAATACCAGTCCCACCAACCTTATTAAGACTTTAAGTCCAAATTTACCGTCTGTTCCCAAGGTGGTAGTTGCGGTGAAGTGAAATACTGGTCATATCTTACCTAAATCGTTAAAGATCAGGTGGTCGCCCTTGCCATCTAATATCAAACATCAAAACAGTCTGAAATATCATAATAATTATAAAATATGAATAAATATTGATGTGAATATATTATGTAAAATAGTAAGAGAATGCAAGGCGTATGACGTAGTTTCAAGGATTACGTAGTTTTCTTTCTATCGAAAATAACGTCATCGTTTTTGTGTTTGGCGTTGAAGCGATATGACAGTGTCACAGCTTACATTGGCGATAATTCGTCTTTTGTTGTCGTCAATACAATGACCTGTCAAATAATACTAGTCATACTTTATACCAAACTTATCAATGCGTATGAAATGTTCATTCGTAATTGTCACTAATGAAAATGTAGGAATAAAAAAGGGTAAATTACCAAAAAAACAGAAGTTAATTTATTGGACGAGGTACGTTGGCCTTGGGCTAACTTTATTTCTCATAATTTAACTTAATTTAAGGAAATCATCAAATGTTATTTTCACTAACAAAATGTAACGTAAGATCCTATTTCAGAACGTAGTCCCGGACTCAGTGACGGTAGTACCGGACTCCGTACTGACCCCGGACAATGGGAGTGATGGAGGGAAGGGAAGTCTCACTTCGCCCCAGACAGTACCACACTTCATGACACCCCAGTCACACGACTACCCCACTCCGCCTTCTAACGATCCCACTGCCAATAACTACCATCCTGGTAAGTTTTTAGTCAATTTAGTTCAAGTTAAGTCAGTTTTTGTTTTGTTTGGTTTAGTCAGTATTTGGTTGACTGCAGCTGTAGCTATAATAGAATCATGCTGATGATAATCATTACTTTAGCTCTTTATTCATATTAAAACTTTAAAACACTGTGCTGAGCAGCATTTATCTATAAATATTAAATACCCGAATTTAACGTTTAATAAAGCAATATAGTTGCGCGTGGATTGTTTGACCCGTCAGTTGGGGAAGTAGATATTTCTCGATTGTTCGATTACGATCCAATAAAATCTGCCTTTACTCAACTTATAGACAAAGTTATCCTTCCTCTATCTCGTGCGGTATCGTTTTTGTGTCAGCTCTTTACCTTGCTAACAACCTGACAGACTGCATGGTTGGTGTTTTAGCACTTTCTAACAGATATAAGTCATAAGTGCCTCTCTTTAAGCTATCTGGGCACTATAAGTAAATTATTACATTGAATTACATTGAACATTAGAAATAAAGTACTACTCCTCAGATTTGTCTATATTTAGTTGAATTACAATCTAACACGTCTGACAGTTTGAACTACCTTTAAAGAAATAAAATAAGAAGGTTTGCAGATGGACAGTTTAAAATGTAGCCATTAAACCAGCTTTTACGTGCGGTAGATACGTGATAAGTGACCTTCTTATTAGGTGAAGTCCCCATGATCCATGGCTTGTTCGTAGTAGTAACCATTTCCGAACACCGATAAGCGATAATAATATGTAATTGTACGTGATTCCTTGCTGAAGTGGCTCTAAAGAGGAACATGATATTAAGTCTTGTGTTTATATGTCCGTGAGTTAGTGTGCTATGTAGCACACTAGATCTCATGCCAATATGATCATGAGTTTGCCAAAATTTGTGGTATACAAGTGGCAGTCTGCATAATACACACATGCCACATATTATAATACAGTGTAGTTGTTGTACACAGCCAGAGTGGTCTCTCTCTCCCTCTCTCTTTCTCTCTCTGGAGCCACTAAAATCTCGAAGAATGAGCAGTTCCGAGTCGAGTGGAACTCTTTATATATATAATATATACAAGTCTCTCTCTCGAGTTATGATTTACAGTTAAATGTCATTATGAGCTTTATAATTTTCATGTTTTGATTTGGTATAATTGGGGGAGACGGGCCGCTTGATTAAAGAGTAGATTGTACCCTCGCTAAGTTTCTCGACAGAACAATCCCCTCTTGCTATCCAGCGATTGTACTTGTGGCGTCAACTATTTAATAGTCAACTATTTAATAGTCAACTATTTAATAGAAATGGAGTACAATCACTAGAGAGAGAATGAGAGAGAGAGCAATGCAAGCCAAGATTGTTTTTTACTGATCATACAGTAGATTCGCGGAATCGTAACCAAATTCTCTGGAACGAGGACCTACAGTTTATATTTATAATGGTTTTAAATAAAACTGCGACATAATATTGCGGGACTCATATGGTCACGTGACGAGAGTTTATTGGCCTGTAAGTACAGCACAGTCTTCCTTAATGACGCTCACATGTTGAACAGGCACATGTGCAACTCTAGACATTAAATATAGTTTAATTCCTGCACTGTTTGAGTATAGTACGACTTCCCCGAGTATTTGAGTACATTATTAACACTGTAACCTGTAATTACTTCCGCGGGATTCATAACTAATTTACTTAATCTTCAGAAGAACTGATGCCGACGGAAGACCGAAGTGTGACGTGCGACAAGAAGCGCGACACGTATCATCAGCTGCTCTTCGACCACACTTCCTACTCTGCGCTGGGTCTCAAGAAATACCTGGGACCCCTGCCCTCGACCTACCGTCCAGACAACACTCCAGCTCCCGTCACTTCCCAGCCTATCATGCTCAACTCACCCCTCAAAACACCTCCCCAGAGCTGTCTAGAGAACCTGGATATCACTGCTAAACTGGAGTCCTTCTCTACCGAACTGAAGGAGAGTGGGCTCCTCACGGGCTCTCCTGACCTCTCTAGAACAATGCACATGTCAGCCAGCAAGGAGGAAATGACACTTCTTTCTATCGGAGAGAAAATAATGCAGTCTCCGGACCACAAGTTCGCGTTCCCCAGCGCATTCGCACAGACTAATATCAAACGCGAGCTCTCAGATTTACCGAAATTGCAAGGGGGACAGTTCTTGATAAAATTCGGAGATTCTTATTTGAACAAGTTCTTAGTTAGTTCAGAGGACGTTATGTTGCCTGGTGGATATTCCTGCTTGCAAAACGAAAACAAATCAGTTCTTCTGGACACTACGCGGATGGAGATTTACGCGCAGAACGAACACAAGTCCACAGTGGGCTACCTCCCCAAATCCTCCATCTCCATCGCACTCTACCAGTCTCTAGAAAGTAAGGTAGTGAAGCCCCAGAGCAACTCCACCCCATTTGCAGCTGTGCGCAACAGCCGGTTTAGTCCCAGCTTCCTTAAAATCCTCCAACAGGGAGTCAGGAATGTGGTGAACTTTGAGGCTAAGGTTGAGGAACCGACCTTCGAGGAAACCATGGCAACCAACTCAGCCATTGACAAGGTGCGTACCTAGTAGTTTGTACCTGCCTGGTCCCACTGTATTAGACACGCACTTTGCGAATTATTACAGTCCGTTACACTAAAACAAATAATGAGCTTTTCCGGTGTACTGGTTTGCTGGTCACGTGACCCACTAACCACCGTGTTGCAGGTGGGCAAGCTTCTCGAGAGTAGACTGCCGTCTGATCTGGTCTTACAGAAACCAAGGACTTGCATATTACCTTGGAAATCCTTCTCTTCCTTAGCCGGTATGTTGTACGCAATTTCTTTACATCGACTCAATAGTTCTTATTATAAAAGCCAAACTACATTTTAGAAGATTGAGTCTTTAATAACTATCAAGATTCAATGTTGTATAACAATACCTTTATTGTGATAACTTTAAACTCCTAGTTAATTATAATTAACTGTTAAGATCACGACAGTTCAATGAACTGCTGCCAATGTAGCGAGATAAGACAATAATTAGCAACTTTAAGATAGAACAATAATTAGCAACTTTAAGATAGAACAATAATTAGTAACTTTAAGATAGAACAATAATTAGCCACTTGAACAGTCGATAGTCCTCACAATCAAACACATATTATTATCTCTTAACAAAGAAATAGCTTTAGAACACTGCTTACCGCGGCTACACTCTGGTAATTCGCTCTATGGTACTATTTAGTACAAATTGGTACAATGTGGTACAATGTGGTACTATGTGGTACTATGTGGTACTATGTGGTACTATGTGGTATTATAATTTATATGGTGGCGGTGGTGCTATGTGTGGCGGTGGTGCTATGTGGTGCTAAAGTGCACTTTTTAACTAGATCCCAGCACAATTATACTATATAGAGATATAGGCGACCAATCTTCAGTTTCAGTGTAATAGTTATTCAGATCATCATGTCAGTAAATTGAGGTCTGATCTCGATCACATGGATCGTACAATGCAATATGGTCAGCTTCTTCTAATATTTATGTCGAGACGATAATATGTACATATTATGTTCTGTTCACTGGTTAATATGCTAAAAATTAATGAGTCTCGTACACAAACATTTTACCCGGATCATCTTGAAGTGTAAAGTGCATTCCACACATACTGCAAATATATATGTTGGTGGTGTAGTACCCCGGTGGTGGCTGATGTTAGAGTGTCAGGTATACTAGTTAGTTACATGTAACAGGTAGGATATTTAACACTAGACACGCAGTAAAGTAGTGTGTACTGGTAGTGGGCTACACAATATCATCACTACACACACACACACACACACACACACGGTATTAATACTCACATAAATACATAACAACGACCCACCACCACCACCTCCACCAGTACATTGTCAGTAAATATTGATTATTTGAGAGTATAATAGGTCTGATGACACGTCAGCCGTTCAGCCTGGTAATTGTACTGCTGGCTGTGTGTGTATCCCGGATCAAAGGGCCGACAATGTCTCTCCTGCATTTTGTCAGCATTACACATCGTCAACTAATGACTTACTAAGAAATGAGGTGAAGGAGAAGGAGACAGGTTTTATCTCACAGGATTTATACCGAACAGTACAGACACTGCTCAGACTCGTTTACACTTTACATTATAGTCACTGTAAATCGGTGGAGAATGAAACGCTGCATTTTATTGGAGTTAGAAGAGATTTAATCCAGGCAAGATATTTAGGAGTCGACCAGTAAAGGGAAGGAAGCGGCCGCTTTGAAACCAAACCTTGTCTCTCCTATCTAGTAAGAGTAGAGGATCAAACACCAGCTGCATAGTGCCTCATCACTATTGTCTCTTACAGTTGAGACACGTTTTCACTGGGTTTAATTGGCCGATTCCTTTGCCTCAAAGAGATTTATAAAGGTTTGATCAGTGTTAAGTATTGAAAATGTGGATGTTAAGTAAAACCCAGAAAATGTGACATGTGGTTTAACAGAATCGTCTAAAACTGCAGGGAGTTTCCTCATTCCCTTCCGGTTTCCAAAGATAGTGTTATATAATAGCTTCCCATGCCCCTTGCTATGGTTAGCTTCGCATACATGACGTTTTTAAATTAAGACGTCAATACCGCCCACCGAGTTTTATACTTTGTGGGATAACCAACGTCAAACGTACTCGGATACTGGCAGATCGTTATTTTAACAGAGAAACAGTAAAATTAGCCCCGTTTTATTCTAGAGAACAGCTTTGGATTCTGGTAATATTTCTAGATGTTTAGCTGGTACCAGTTCCAACTACTCCACTATTTAGACTAACCCTGACCTCCTCCCAGAGAAATACAACACGGGTACAGGAGAGCAGCCCCAACCTGCTCTACTCCTGGGACATGAACAACAGTGGATGTCGGTGAGCCCACAGAGCGTACCTGTGTGGATCAGCAAGGGTATGGAACCCTATTCGGGTAAACGGGACGTCCACTACCTGGTGGTAATCCCTGATAACGCCCACATCATCCACAACATCCACAACTTCTTCGAGAATCTCTCTACTGTTTACGAGGTATGTTAACTCAATCTGTTTTCAAACGTGTACGTGTTTGTAGCTGTTTATTGTTTAAGTCTCAATTATCAATAAATATGTTTAACAGTTCGGTCATATATTATTACGATAAGGAACACAGGGTAAACAATGTACAGCGCATATTTGATATTATAAAATGTCACAGCTCATTTGTGCGCGTGTAAAGTGTAAAGTGTGTAGTGCATACGTAACCTTGATACGTAACCTGTATCTGGTCGTGCCATATTATGTGAGTTTGTATGCTTCCCGGATATTATCTGATTACAATGTGCAGTAATAAGTTCTATACACTCCTTATACTCTATACTTGTTAATCTAGATACACTGTCTGTACTTGTTAATCTAGATACACAGTCTGTCCTCTGTGTTGACTACAGGCAGTGTATTTGTGCGGTATATCTAGTGTGTTGAATTGTACCTGAGTGGGATTGTGTTGACTACAGGCAGTGTATTTGTGCGGTATATCTAGTGTGTTGAATTGTACCTGAGTAGGATTGTGTTGACTACAGGCAGTGTATTTGTGCGGTATATCTAGTGTGTTGAATTGTACCTGAGTGGGATTGTGTTGACTACAGGCAGTGTATTTGTGCGGTATATCTAGTGTGTTGAATTGTACCTGAGTGGGATTGTGTTGACTACAGGCAGTGTATTTGTGCGGTATATCTAGTGTGTTGAATTGTACCTGAGTGGGATTGTGTTGACTACAGGCAGTGTATTTGTGCGGTATATCTAGTGTGTTGAATTGTACCTGAGTGGGATTGTGTTGACTACAGGCAGTGTATTTGTGCGGTATATCTAGTGTGTTGAATTGTACCTGAGTGGGATTGTGTTGACTACAGGCAGTGTATTTGTGCGGTATATCTAGTGTGTTGAATTGTACCTGAGTGGGATTGTGTTGACTACAGGCAGTGTATTTGTGCGGTATATCTAGTGTGTTGAATTGTACCTGAGTGGGATTGTGTTGACTACAGGCAGTGTATTTGTGCGGTATATCTAGTGTGTTGAATTGTACCTGAGTGGGATTGGTCGTACTTGGCTTGCTTGTGCCAGCAATATAATGCGCTTTATATATTTTGCATAATGTTCGCTAATGATTTCGTGGATCTCACTGGTCGTGTACTAAGACCACAGAATGTAACGTGTGTGTAAGGTTTTTGTAGTTTTGTCCAAGTCACCCGGAAAGTTTAATTTCATCAGGACACAAGCGTATCATTTAGTTGTCGATATGATCTCGGATACGAAACTTATTTCAAGTACAAAAGATCCCCTTTGTGACGAAGCAGCCTGCTTTGAATGACAATACCTGGTGTTTGAATCCTTTATAAAACCGCCAATAATCCCGCTCCGTATATAACAAGCCCACCGCGCCGTGTGTGGTGTTGTGTGTGTGTGTGTGTGTGTGTGTGTGTGTGTGTGTGTGTGTGTGTGTGTGTGTGTGTGTGTGTGTGTGTGTGTGTGTGTGTGTGTGTGTGTGTGTGTGTGTGTGTGTGTGTGTGTGTGTGTGTGTGTGTGTGTGTGTGTGTGTGTGTGTGTGTGTGTGTGTGTGTGTGTGTGTGTGTGTGTGTGTGTGTGTGTGTGTGTGTGTGTGTGTGTGTGTGTGTGTGTGTGTGTGTGTGTGTTGGAAAGCCCGTTCACACGACAACACTGCTTAACTTGGGGTTATTAACGAAACTGTAATTGATGTATAGTAGATTACAACATGTAGACGGTACACAACAATGTAATGTCATTCCTGTACTGTTGGCGTCTACATGCTCTACACCACATATTACTTTCTTTGTGCATACATCATTGTGCACAGGATCCCAATTTAGACATCTGTAAATACTTTTGTGTACCCGGCCCAGTCTCTTTAATTGGTCAATGAGCAAGCCGAGGCGTTTCCATTTTTCTTACTACAATTCATCGTTAATTAGGGAGAAAATTGTGTCGTATAACTATCAAAAATTACGGATGAAAAATGTTTTATAAAATTTACATGTAATTGAGATGTTAGCTGATCTAAGAGGTGAAACAGTGCGCTGAGCAGCAGCTTTGGTGATATTTATAAACTACTCGATTTAATTTACTTTAGCATTATTACATGTACGTTACCACTGCAGTGTACTACTGCATCTTGTTAAACATGCAATTGCATATTATGGTGGTGCAATGTGTGAACAAAACGAAACAAATTGTGTGAAATAATGTACTGCTTTTGGCACTGTTGGTGTATGTTTCAACGTACACGACAATTATTATACTGGTCTATTTCACGGGTGAAACCAGCTTTCTGCGTGTTATATATAGTTCAAAGTTGTCACCTGTCAAAACAAACTAGTCTCTCTCATCCCCGCAACGCCATATAACTCAATGCTTGACAATTTATTAAATCCGCAAAACATTTTCTTACTCAACAATTTTTCTCTTTTTATGCGTACAGTGTCAGCCACCCCGCGCATAAATGAAAACATATTAAGTACATGTTCTTGTGGAAGTCACCTGCAAGTGTAACTGTATTAAACATTCCTAATTTCCTGTTGGAATGCCTCCAAAATGTGCAGTTTCCTACATTGTACGTAATATTTATCTCCGTGTGATTATTTCGCGGGATCCTTGCCAAGTGATTTAAAGTGAGTTAATGATTGTGTGTTCGAGTGCCAGTAACGGCCAAATAACCATCTGAATGGTCACACACATACTTGCTTGAGTGCGTGCATTTGTAGAGGATTACAGGATATATTGACTGTACGCGGTTTCTATCAAATACTCTCATTACGTACTTGATACAATTATCCGGGGTGCAGTTATTTCGTAAAATATCTGTGAAATTCAATATTCAGTGTTTAAGAGTGCCTGAAGTCCTGGATTTGGCGGAACACCTTTACTATTTACAGCATATCATGGCATTAACTACCCAGCATCCATGAAAGTTTACATAACTATTCATAGTGTTGTAACAGAATGATATCGAGAGTCTTGACCAAATTTGAGTCTGGGAAAAGCAACAACGCGCGTAAATTAAAGCATAAAATGTCAGCAAGAATCTACCTTCTTGTTTGCAAAAACGTCGAATTCAGCATTTAGTACATCAGCGCGCACGAATGTACGTGATTGGAAATAAGGTAACACTCAAAAGCAGCAGCAAATGGGAATAGAAATCTAAGCGAACTGCGAAGGGTTCTGCTTTCGTAACAAATTAAATATTAAAATGGTAAATTGTAAAGGTTCGTGATTTCATGAACTCATGCTATGTTCATGTATTGTTGCATCGTATATTCATTGAACTACAGAGTATTTTGCTAGACAGACGTAAGTCGTAATATCTTTCTTGGGTTAACCTTTAAATTTTTCAGCTAAGTCACCTGGGACATCACAAGCAGCTTGCAACAAAAATCAGAGAAGGAGTGATGAGAGTGAGCAAGAAATCAGGAGAGAAAGTAGCTCGAGAGCCGCTAGATCCCTGGTTCGGCGACAAGAATGATCCGGAGTCTTTGACCTGGCAAATGTACGCTAAGACCTGCCAACACCTGTTGGCTAAATATCTCGCCAGCTTCCTTACCGGGAAAGGTATATTGTCTTTTATCGAATTAAGTAGTATGGATTACACAGCACACCACATACAATGTATATTAATTTAGCGACAATGTCTAATTTTGTTTGTTATTTCTTGGAGGAGGTTCTTGAAACGTATTTATATTTCTCAATTGCAGGGAGCTCGGAGCACAGGAACATCGTGATTTATTTCATCGATCCTTTTAAAACACGTGATTTGCACACGAAAGCTCAGTTGGTTACCAGGTGCTTCAACTCGATGCAGGAAGAGCTCAACAAAACGAAAAACACTCACTTCATCATGCAGGTTATACACAGTTAAAAGTAGAGTAGTCGATGTGTAGAAGAGTAGTAGATGGGTAGTAGAGTAGAGAGAGGGTTTCTGGCAACATACATTTAAAAATCCATTGTCTTCCGTACTCTTGACTGAACCTCACTACATGAAATATCTCATTAACTTTACATTTACCTGGATCCAGTCCTTATTTGGGCATGTATTTCAGAGTATTCCGGCGGACTACGTGTCAGGGAACCACATGAACCTGGTGCAGCTGACATCCACTCTCAAGTCTGTGTGTTTCTCTGTATACAACCAGACTCTAAAACATGTGAAGATGAAACCTCCCACTACTTGCCTCACTGGATTTGGTCCCGTATCTAAAGATGTGGTTCTTGAGGGCGGGGTAAGTTAAATTTACAATTACCTTCACGGTTTAAGTGTCTCAATTTAGTACATTTCCTCCTTCTTCATGGTCCATTATATTGGCAGAGTGTGTATCGTGTATCATATTGGACGCGAAGAAGATTAGCACTAATTGAAATAAAATGTATGCCTGTAACATCCTCAATAAATGTATTAATAGTGTTGTAATCAGCTTAAAACTAATATCATCTTTAATTAAAATCTAGGCGGTTCACATGACGGGTTCGTTACAGGAGCCGAAGAAGGCTGGTGCTACAGCTCAACAACACGTCTACAGTCCTCTCTGTGTTCTGAAGAACAAACCTCACACTGAAACTGTGACCTCCAAACTAGACACTTTGTTCTGTGCATATTCCCTATCACATGATACTAATTGGGCCATTGTCGCTATTAGTGACTCTTCTGGACATCTACTGGACACTGCTTTGTATGCTATTGACGAACCTTCAAGGTAAATTATATTCAATACCAACCTTTCATCTGCGTTACGGTATTTCAAAATTTGCATACCGTAATTAGAAAAGTTGAGAACTAGATCACATCTAGATGTAATCGAGATTGAAGTAAATGTAACCATGCCAATCGACGATTATACTTAAACACCAACCTACTCAGACAAGGGGTGACACCGGCCGTTTTGAACAAGATCTGGTCGTTCTGTCTGAGTATGGTGGAGAGCTACAGGGCTATGTGGTGCCTTGTTGTCTCCAAAATGGGGAACGTTACTGACGCAGAGGACAGATGTAAGTAATTTTGAGTTGATTTTTAGTTTCTTTCTATTTGTAAGTCTGGTAAAAATGATTCAAACATTGTAGGGGTATTTATTATCTTTGTTGTGTTCATTGTGAGTAGATATTTACCCTGTCATTCCGCAGTTTGGTCAGAGAAGTTCAAATCTGTTGTTTCCTGGAACGCCCAGCTACAAGAACGATGCACAGAGTGTGTTCTCTCCAACAAAGTCCACACATTCGGCATCGCCTCAGTAAGTCTGCTCAGTGTCCTCAACTCAGCTCATGTGAACATTCTACCGCTCCTGAACCGCCCCAAACCCCTGGACTTCAGGACCAGCTCCCAGATCCTGCTCCTCTCCCCTCAGCAGCCTCTGGTTGAACCGCTGGACCGGTTTAAGAAGTTGCAGGAGGACAGCTTCACGTTCTACTCAGGGCCGGAACACTCCCGAGATAAGAAGAGGAAGATCCTGTCCTCCGCCTACCTCGCGAGTTCAGCTGCTTACTCTGAACTTCCAAGGCACATGGGCAGCGGCAAATCATCTGTATTACTGGTATGTCCTTCATATCTCGTCTTAAAATCGTATCATGTATTTAAAGCTTATATCGTCCTAGATATTATACTATTCCCACCAGTTCTTTACAAGTCCATAACCTGGATCTAACGTGTTGTCGGTAAATTTTTATCTATTCCAAATTGTAAATCTGCGATTTCCAGGGTAATCTGCATCAGCACATAGTGACTATGTCGAGCAAGAGACATATCCTTCTCAGCGACAATCACCCCCTGACCCTTCGGTACATCTTACAGCAGCTGGATGCGTTGTCATGGTTACAGATCAACCCGACCACTCGTGCTAGGAGGTCTCCCCTACCTCTTCATATGTTCACTGTCGCTAATATCTACTCAGCTCTCCAGGGCATGACCTTTGTCCCCCCATAAGTAGGTCAGTCAAATTTATCACTGAGTTTATGAATATCTGATGGCATGGAAAGGGTTTGAAACGTTGATGGCGATGTACCATATTAAATTTACATCGTTGCTTTTGCCGACCACTTGTTTTTAGTCTGAAAAAGTTTATGCAATCCGACACGGAAATAGTTAAATGTTGATACTATTCTCTAACCAACTGTATTTCAGATGTGGTACGTCCTATAATGGATGATTAACGAATTCAGCGCGCGCCATCAGACAGATAAGAAAGACAATCCAAACAAATCAGTCTCAAATCAGAACGAACAAACAGACTAATATTCCATTCTTGTACACTCCGCCGGCTACTCGTGCGAAGTGATGCGGATCTGGATTTAGTGATATGGACACTTGCTATGTTCATGTTTTTATTGAGAGAATTTCTTGTAGCGTACAAGTTTATGTAAATTATAATTCTAGCACCAGAAACTTTCTGAGTAACAATAATGAGAATAGACTATTGTTGATTGATAGAGCTCGCCTAAATTACATATATTATAAACATGATATAATGTACACTCAGTTGTCTTTTAACGACAAATATACAGAAAATTTATAATTTTTAAAATATTTGATCTTTTTTATAGTGAATTATTTCTATTCCTTTGTCTTTTAGTCCGAGACGAAAGGTAAACTCGTTAGCTTTTCGTGTTAAAAGCGATTTCTCGACGGTTATCATCTCTCTAGATCATGTAGATGATGCTTAAAACATTTGGCCTGTATGGGACCATCTACTTAGGACGTCCGCAAAAATCGCAGATTTTCAGACGCCCGGCCCTCCCCTTCCCCCTGTCCGGGTGTGTCCGAATTTTCAAAACCACCCCCCCCTCCCTCCACTGGACGTCCGGATTTCCAGCTACTTTTAGGAGTACAAATAAAACCAAATCAAATTCATTGTTAATAAAATGTGTAGTTACTCAAAATAGACAATAATACATTTAGTGTCGAACAAGTTTAGCACAGTAACATTTAACTACTTAAGTAGCCATCCAATCGAATAAGTTTTAAGGCAGTAGGAGAATATGTGAGTTGTGTCTCGGCTCTCATGAGCTGCTCTGGGAATCGACGTCTCGTTCAAAATACAGGGATCTAAACTTACAGAGTAATAAGTGTCAAAGAGTTGAAATAATTAATAAATGGGACTTTTTCGTTAATTCTGCCAAAAGTTCCGGAATTTCAGAAACCCCCCTCCCCCTGTCCAGATTTGTCCGAAATTCCAAAACCACCCCCTTCCCTATTTGCCAGGCGTCCTAAGTAGATGGTCCCTATTGCATTTTTGTACTAAATGCATTAGGGGCTTTTTCGGCCACTCTAGGAAGGCCAAGGTCGCAGAGACTTCCGATACACCAAAATGTGCCTAATAGTAATAGCCATATTCATATACAACTTATGAAGCAACACATCTTAAAATGCTTATTTTCGGAATTATGGCCGAAAACCGGTTTTTGGCAGTTCCGCCTAGGAAGGTCGTCGAAACTATTCTGATACGCCAACATGTACCTAATAACCACAACTTATGAAGCAACATATACCTTAAAATGTTCATTTTCGGAATTGTGGCTGAATACGGATTTTGCCCTGCGAACAATGAAAATACTCACAAATCGGCTATTGACCTCGCAACTATAAAGACTCATGAGTAACATATCATTTGTCACAAGATGCCTCACTTTGTGTCCAGAACACCTGAACACCTGAAAGGTTCGAGAATTATCTACTTAATTGGGCATCTCTCCCAATGGACCAGGCCCGTATCATATTTGCGTCTTACGAAAGGGCAATTTTTAATATTTTCGGTTTCTTCGGTTAAGGGAAAGGGGGGGGGGGGGAGGGAAAGGGGCTTTTGCTAACACTCTAACAGCACATTGTTCGCAATTGCCGACTCATGCAGTATGTACATTATATACTCAAAAACGTTCAGTTTAGTAGTGATTAGTAAATAACTACTGCATGATTTGTGAAAATTCCTTAGTCAATTATGGACGTACTTAAAAATATTTTTTCAAAAGATCTTTTTTCACTAAAATTATACCGGGCATATTATATATTGGGGGAAACAATAATTGTACGATATAGAAAACACACTGTATATTAGACAATTTAATTATAGTCATAGAGAGGTTCACGGTCTAAGAAATAACGCAATTTTCCATTTCCCCCCAATTTTTGCCGTCACAATTCACTTATAACTGAAATGTTGGCAAGTTTCTCCATTTTCAGAAATCAATCAGTCTTGCAAGATTATATAAGGAAACAAATAGTTTTCTACAAACTGCCTGCTCGAAGATTTATTGTCATACGTTGTATGACCCGCCGTGCACGAAGTGCGCGGCTCGGGGCTCCCCCTACCCTGTAAGTGTAAGTGTATCGTGAAACGACCGTGGGGGTCACAACGTGATAGTGATACAAAAGATTTACGATGGATTTGATGTGTACAACTACAAGTGTCCCTACTCGGATGAGACGTACTGGATTGTGGATAAAATTAAATTGTCATTCTCGGGGTCGAATAGGTTCAATGCAACTTGTAGCAATGACCCGTTCGGTTACCAGGTACCTCAGATAAATAAACTTACAGTTACGCGTGGAAAATAATGTCTCATTATACATGATATACATTAAACATTATACATAATTTTACCAAAACCCATAATCATGGGTAGAGTGGACCGCTGCCAGTGTCTCTCTTTCCCAAACAAAAGGAAATGATATTAATTTGATTGCCCGTTCTCAAATGCAAAATGATACCGAGAATGAAATCGGTCGCTCGCTTTTCCCATTCATTCACGGCTTACGAATTGTAATAATTTTCGATTGATTACATGTTAATCAGATGCTGTAAAAATCTCTTTGGGTTGCGTTCGGGTCGATACCTAGTATTTCGGGGTAGGGTGGTAGTTATCACTTATTGCATTAGCTGAAGTTTATTGAATCTTTATTGCCGAGTACAGCTGCCTTTGGGTAGTTCTTCTTAATCTATTACAATTGTAAATGAATGGGAAAAGCGAGCGACCGATTTCATTCTCGGTATCATTTTGCATTTGAGAACGGTCAATCAAATTAATATCATTTCCTTTTGTTTGGGAAAGAGAGACACTGGCAGCGGTCCACTCTACCCATGATTATGGGTTTTGGTAAAATATCATCTCTTTTTGATTATGATGTCAGGGTACTTTATAAAGTCGAAATATAAACTGGTATCTTCATTATAATAAGGAGGAAGTTTCAACGATTTCGAAATTTTTCCTTTAAAAACATTTCCTTGTGTTTAGGTAAGCATATCAGTCGATCACTGACTGAATATACCACTTAATACTCATTCAAGTTGACATTAAATTCATATATAATGACATTAAACTGTCGTGGCAAAGCAGAATTTGTTGGAAATCACGAATGAGCAAAATTCTCACCTCTTGCACGTGCAAACTTTGAGCGGACGTTGCATGCGCATCCAATATTGAATCGCCGTAAATTTTTGCATGTAATTGTTTTATATATAGCTTGATAAGCATGCAAAGTTTGAAAGCATTTCAAGAAGAACTGTAATCACAACGGCACTCTAAAGTTGACAGAAAATGACAAAAACAGCAATTTTCAGTGATTTTAGCAATTTTTTATCAATTTGGGCGTGTCCCCACGTGTGCAACTTTTCGATTTTCAACTTTAAAACTAGCCTAATGCACAATTTATACCTATAGGAAGCAGAACTGAGCTCCACAACCCAAGGCATGGCCCAACACCAAAGAATACTAAATCGCAAAATTGACGTTTTTATAAAATAATTCTTCAAAAAAGCACAAACTTCAATGACAAATATCTTTATGAAGGAGCAAGCTAGAAAAACTTTCCGGTAGATTTTCAGAATGCTTGAACAATTATCTGGGATAAAAATTTCCTCAGATTTTGAATAAAATTACTCCTTAATGGGTTAAAATTAATTTTAAAAGTTATTACTTTGTCAAAAATCAAGTTTTAAAAACGGTTAACTTGATGACGTCATCAAGGGGTGTTTATGACGTCAAATAAATTTTGTATACAATGTAAACTAAAGTGTAAACAATTAATTGTCCCGACAATCTGTCGTAAAACAGGGGTTCTAGAAAACCCATTTCCCGATGCTCCTGAAAACTGAAACTTTTTTTGCAGTCAATTTGGTCAACGTCTAGACGCCCTGAAAAATTTCAGATCTCTAACTCAATTTTAACATGGTTTTTAGGGCACCTGAATATGGCGATTTTGGGTTTTTTACCGAATTTCGTATAACAGTGCTGGCGAGTATTTTATGCAAATTTCTTAAAAATCTGAACATAACTATTTTTTATTCCTGTCATCTTTGACATCAAATTAGAATGTTTTGAACTAAAAATAATTCTGCTGAACGACTTCCGATGAGTCTTAATGCCTGGAAAACTCCTGCCGGAGGCGGCGGCCTTCGGCCGCCGCCTCCGGCCGGAGTGCACGCTTTGCGTGCACAAAAGAGGCTTGTAACGTGTACCAAAGGGGGTATAATAGTAAAAGGGGTATAATAGTAAAGGGGGTATAATAGTAAAGGGGTATAATAGTAAATGGGGAACATAGTATACCCACAATAAATGCAACGGTCGTGCTTGCCAGCACTGTGATATACTTAACAGAACTTAAAAATGCATCTCTTTATTCAAAAATGTCTCCTCATAACTGTATTCAATAAGGTCTCTTTCTCGACTATAATTTAATTTCATATTTGCAGGTTTGCGGTTCGTCCCCTGATTGGAATGTTTTTTCAGATGACATTTCTGTTTGCGGATCCTTCCTTTGTAATTTGGATCTAACTATTAAAGCTCGATCTGTTAGCGAAATATGTTCTCGACAGGTCAGTTTTGCTCTAACATTCCCGACCTGGGAAAGATAGGATGTCCAAAGGTGGAACAACAAGAAAATTCCACACTGACAATTTGTAACATGTGAAATGGAAAGCTGTGAAGATGAAAATGAATGTATAATTGTAAATGTAATGGATACAAATACGGACTTTGGTGTCACAAGCGCATATACATGGAACCCACGAGAATTTGTAATGGAATCCATGGTTGTGTGATTTCAGGACTGGAACCCTCTCAAATTTGTAACGGAATCCACAATTGTATGAATCTAGGAGCATTCAAAAGTGAAGAAACGCTGTGCGAAGATGGGGGGGGGGGGGGGGGGGGGGGGCGATTAAAACAACCTTCCCCTCGTGCTTGAGCTATGATTATAACATATAAAACAAATGATGATTTTTTTCGACCCATATTCAACTTCACCCGGTGTGCCACATTCATCTTTCACAACAAAAACTCAGCACTAGGTACGGATAATTTTAAAAGTATTGATCCTAGTTCTGGGCTCTATGTAAAGCCGTATTGCTCAAATTACATGGACCAAACTACCTTATCGGACCTTATTTGGACGGAAATTACTTGAACGCTGGAGGCCCTAGCGTTCAACTTAGGCTTAATGTCCGTTCAAATAAAGTCCGTTCAATTAATGTCCGTCCAAGTTAAAGTCCGTTCAATTTTTTTAATATACAATTTTAACAATCTGAATTGTAAATATCACATTATATTGCATGA